CCACTTTTTTTTTAGTTTATTTATTATTATTTTGGCACTCACGTTTTCATTGTTTTCGTTGGTAGTTTCCCGGTCTATACATCGCGCCTCAGGGTGGCAATCTCTACTTCCGTAAAACCACCCATTTTGATTGAGGATTTTTTTGGGGGGAAACTCTAGGAAACAAAAGACGCATTTGGGAAGGTCGAGGGGAATACCTTCATTATACAAACTTTGGGCTAAAATATGAGTCACAATCGACACAAAAGCGATATTTTCACGAGCTCAATCAAAGTCACCGTAGCTAATCGGAGCTAGCAACAGGATTTGGTTGCTCGAAAGAATGTTCACGTTTGCTGTCCCGCCCACGCCACTTCATACCGAAAAAGTCGGGAAATGGCGGAATGCCAAAATTGTATTTCAGATAACGAGTACAAGATACTCAGAAATGTAATTAAGATAGAGTATCAAATGCTCTCGATCAGAAGTATTTGCAAGATACCAAGATACTTCAAAAAGTATTTGAAATACAGTATCTTGAGTAGAGTGTTTGAGATAGGCACAAGTCTGGTTCCTAGTATGTTCTATCATCCGGACCATCGCGTCTACTTGTACCGAGGGTTGGAGTCAAATATCTTACTTTATCCGATGACGAAATCTTGTGGATGTTAGAATTTTGGTCATGGCTTAATTCCTCCTGTTGTTTAAGTAGGGTTTCTACTTGTCTGGCTAGTGCTGCCTAAAGCGTTAGATTGGCGTTAAGCTGCAGTTTTGCAGCGCTCTCTCACCAGCTGCTCTTGCGAGTTGCCATAGTCGCAATATTTTGGCAGAGCATGAAGTGTCCTTGCGAACTCTTCGACTGACTCGCCGTCTTGTTGGCATCTCATGCTAAAACGCGCCCGCTCGAAAATAGTGTTCCGCTTCGGGATGAAGTAGCTATCGAACCTTTGCAATACGACGTCAAACTTCTTGGAATCCACTGCGGACAGCTGGAAAGGGCCGAGGACGTCTTTCCGCCCTAATGCAGAGGAGGGCGTCAATTTGGCGCTCCTCAGTTTGTCGCGCAGAGGCCCAATGCTGTTCGGAAACGCTCGACGCGTTTCTTCCACTTGGGCCACTCATTCAGAGACGTAAAGTATAGACGCTTTACACACGCGCCAAATTACAGCCGCCATTGCTGACCTTCTCTTGTCTTACCGAGACGCCGAGCAACTGAAGCGGGCGTTGTTGAGTCTCCACAACGGCCGATGCTTTAGAAAAGGACACAGTTGAATCTAATATGGCAATAACTTCGCCTGCTATGGTAATGATGAAGTGAAATAAACGAAATAAGAGGAAACAAAAACTGAAAGTCAGTTATGGCGGTGTCCATGCACAGCGGGAGGCACTCACTTGATCGAATGACGTTTTAGCGAACGCCCACGTTTGATCGAACGACACTTTAGCGAATAGTCGGACGCCGCGAAGCGGCGTTTTCGGGTGGGCCAAGTGAGTTCATATTTTTGTAATGAGTTGCCGTAGACTGTCGCCGCGAAGCGGCGTAAAGCGCAGCGCGACGGATGGGTTAACGCGCGCCCCCGTTATTCGCTAAAACGACCATTCGCTCAAATGTCGCCGTTCGCTAAAATGTCATTCGCTCTTGTGATATGGACCCGTATAGCCGGTCCTGGCATCGTTCCAGTTCCGCTAGCATTCGATAGATCTCTCGTGCCCGTGCAAGCATGAGCCTTCGTCTTCCGTAACTCTCTCTACCTGGCCACCAGGCGTGACCAGCCGACACCACGCAGTTTCCGCGGCGGTTCGGTGCGTCATGCCATCGGCGCGTGGCGGCGGTTTTTTACAGGGAGCGTGAGCGCGAAAATTTTGAGCGGGTCAGGCCGATTCTGTGACAGTCAGTAGCAGCGGTTATCGGCCTTCGTCTTCGTAAAATGTGCTTACAAAAATATATCGCATAAGTGGAAACACCTTGCTCCGCAGCGCTAAGCCATTCAAAATTTCCGGCTCACAGCGCAAGGAATAGTAGCGCGAATGCGCACCCGAGCCGTTTGTCCAATCGGTTGGGAGCGGTTCTTTTGTTTTGCTCCGGTTCAAGTACAGCTTTAAAAATGCACCGAACATTTCTGCTCCAGTTCTGTTTCGGTTAAAAAAACATATTCGTCGATATAATTAGCATGAAGTGATTCGTGTAAGCAAATTCCACTAAATCAACAAAAAGAGAAAAAGAAAGAAGAATGAAAGCGACCTTTATCCCCAAGTTTTATGCATGGGGTGCATTTACGTTCAAGAAATTAAACTATGCATCGACGAACGCTCATTCTCCGCCCAAAGCTCGCGCTAAAGGTCACAACCAGGCGAACCAGATACGAAAGTTTCAGCATGAAATGATATTTTATTCAAAAGTTATACTTTTTTGAAAATTTCAATGGGAAAGGGCCTACGTTCGTCCGTTTTCGGTTTCTGGCGCCGTAGAGCTCCATGTATTCGAGAGCTCCTTCGGTCACCATTTTCCCACTGAAATTTTCAAAAAATCACTGATCACTTTTGAATAAAATATCGGACGCGGAAAATGAGCGTTCGGCGAAGCGTAGTTTATTTTTGTGGCGAAAAAAACGTGTAACTTTTTTTTTTTTTTTTTTTTTTTTTTGGGGACACCCTGTAGATGGTGCACGTCGTCCAGATGGCGGAGGGCTGCGGACCGAGAGGTTAGTTTGGGTATTTGGGGGGATGAGCATCCACGTTGTCATGGTAACCAAACCGGTTGTGCACACGCCATGATGCGCGAACGTACATACTACGGACGCACAGAAAAAAGCATTACGCTTTTTATATATATATATATATATATATATATATATATATATATATATATATATATGTTATGGGTGTTTTCATCTCAGGCAAAAAGGGTTGAATTTTTAATTTCGCTGGAAAAAAAAATATATATGTTATGGCGTCGTCTCTAAAAACACAGTAGCCACAAACCGCAAGTTCGTCGGATTTTGTTTTCTTGACTTACGAATTTTAAAAGAGACCGCGGCGGAAAGCAGTGTTTTTCGCATCCGTCGGGGGTCGAATGTTTCGCTCGATCTCCCGCCATGGATTTTCAGTCCACATTATATTAGCTTTTTTCAAGCACTCTGTGAGTACAGGTATAAGGCTCCAATATCATGAAATAATTTTAGGCGTTTTGCTTTTTTTCTGTAAAAATGTCGAATACGCCCCCTCGGTTAATTGTTGACGAACTTTGACAATTAAATACTGGCGATCTACTTGGGTTACATCGGTATTTTTTATGTCTATGGAGAGCCCAAAACACGCACTTTCTATATATTATAAAATGATTTAGCTGTACGAAATATTCTTTGCGGGACGTTTACGTTAATGTTATGCGAAAACCAAAAAGTACCAATTTTAAAATCAATCCTCTCGAAAACCCTTTTTTTTTTTTTTTTAATGTAGATATGATAGTTGTCTACTCGAAAAGCAAGTCAAGAGAGTGCGACCGGCCTCTGCTGCGCTGTCATCGCGCGACGCAGTAGAGGCTGGTTGCACTAAGTATCTCTCCACGGGGCGCGGTGTCGCATGGGCCGAGATGCGCTCCGACAGCAAACCGAAACTTAAAAACCCGTCGATCTTGTGTGGTTTTTCAGAACGCCGTAAAATACTTCGCGTGCCTTCTATCGTTCTGAAATTTGTTGATTTAGCTTTTTTTTTGATGATGCTGAGCAATTTTCTAATTAAAACCATGCCTTTAGACACAATATTAAAAAAGTTAATCACGCAAAAATAATTAACAACTTAATTATCCCGGACTTTAATAATTTCCCTAAATGGGCCCCTGGCGCAGGGTTAAAACGCCACAAGCCTTTTTTCGTTGCGATGAGTAGTTTTTGCAGGAGCGATTTGGCCTGCGTTGTCTGAAAGAATGTTTTTCTTTATTCTTTCAGATTTGTTTTAAAAGCCGTGAAAGCTACACTTATGCGGTTTTTGTAGGTAAGTTATACGGCCAAGAGGACATAGTATAGGAAGATAGTCGCAACTATTAGTCGGCTAATTAAGTAAAATTTGTTAATTAACTTTTTAATTAGTGCAAATCGACTATAGTTCCAGTTAGAAACTTGCTGAGCATCATCGAAAACCACTAAATCAGCTCTTTTTAGAAGGTTATAATGCCGGGGCAGCATTTTACAGAGTTCTGTAAAAACGCACCATTTGGACGCGTCTTAGATTTCGGTTTCTTATCGGAGCGCACCTTTGCGCCCGCGGTCCTGGTCGCGACGCGGAGCCACTCCCTCGCCTTCCTCGTAGAATGTAGGGAAGTAGGGCGGATGTGTGTTGCGCGTCTCAGTGCAACACACATCCGCCCTACTTCAAGTATATATATATAGATATATATTTGAGTACCTTTTGCCGAATCTGTTAAAGTCGGGGAGAGAGCGTTTCTAAACATGTTGCGAAGCTGCGCGTTATTTCCACCACGTGCGCAGCGCTCACAGAAAGGATTCCCCCGCACCCTACCCCTAAAGTTTGTGACGGTGCGGCGAGCGCAGCCTTTCCCCAATCGCCGCGAACCGGCCTGGCGCAAGTTGAGCGCGCACGTTCGTCTAAATCCTCTACCGTGTAATCTGGCGCCGCGCTCCTAACCCGCATCGCCACGGGCCCTCCCTGCGGCCCTGCTGATCCCACACATCCGCGACGCCAAGTGCGCGCTTCAGCGATCCGCGATTTCCGGCCTTGCACGCGACCACGCTCGAAACCACAAGTCGACCCACTCTGAAAGGTCGGAAAGGTATCCTCCCGCCGGGGAAGCGCGCGGGGCTCGAGTCCACTGCCGACCCCAGGCGCGAGCCTTAGAGAGCAAGGGAGGGGAATGAGCGCTCACGTGACGAGCGGATACGGGTTGGGGGGCATCGGGATGGGGAGGGGGGGCAACCCGCTCCCGATGACGTGCGGTGATCGATCTGACCGACTGCGAGCCCTCCGCGCCACGGGGCGACATCTGCAGGGGTAGCGGACTCCGGGGGGCCGCAGCAGCCGAGCTCGTGGCAAAGGAGGTGTCGGCCCGTGCCTGCCCCACCGTGTGTCGACGCGCCCGAGCGGGGGGCTCCACCACCATGCAGCGCAGCAGCGACAGCCGCCCGACGAAGGGGCCCAGACCCCGCTGAGAGCCGCCGCTTCGGGGTTATACGCCGAGGGCCACGGAGCAGCTCGGGGTTCGTCGGGACCCCCGCGCGGGCGGCCATCTTGAGCGGGAGTGCGGCGCCCGTGCCCTTCAGGGTTCCCCATGGAGACGAAGGAGCGGGACGATGCAGCGTAGACGATGCGCGGTCGGCTCTGCTTGGCGCTGCTGCTGCTCGTGCACGCGGCTCTCCCGCTGCTCGCCGAGCCCGTGAGCCGAGCCAAGCGGAAAAGGGGTGAGCATCTTTGCGGGACCGGGAGCTCCCGGGCCTCCGGGCCTCGCTGCCGCTGCGTCCGCCGCCGCCGCGCTCTGCGCTCCCGTGCCTCACAAGGGCCCGGAAAACTTGGCGGACTCGTTCTTTAGGGAAAAAAGAAAGCTCCCGTGTCGTTTTGGCTTTCCCGAAGCCTTCCCGCAAAAAGAAACAAAATCTCCGACTCCCCCTCCCCGACTCGAACGATTGCTGCGAACGCGAGTCCGTTCCTCATGCTCCCGCACTGCTGCGCGAGCACAACGGGGAATTGTAGCCCCGACGCCACCGATTTCAGTAGTTACCAGCTCGCGCTCGCAGCTTTCGCGCTCACAGCTTTCGCTCTCATCAGAGAGCGGATGAATGGGCGACGGAAGGTGCAAAATCGCAGCCGAGCCTGCGCCAAGAAGCGACCAGATCGAGCGAACAGCTACAAACTCTTCAGTTAGCATGTTGCTAGGAGAGTCGACCGACCTGGTGCGACTGATTGGACGGGAATTCGTTCCTTTTTTGTTTCTTCTGTTCTCCTCTTTCGTCGGGGTTATTGGATGTCCGCGGTCGATTTCGGCACGACTCGCGTGATTGGGGGCGCGGAGCGCCGTTCGAATGCCTGCGCTCCGAGTCTGCGAGGGGTGATTGGAAGCGTGAGCAAAAAGCCGCAAGGCTGCAAGGCCGCGACGACAGTTCCCCTGTCAGTGCCTGGCACTGTGCCAGCGAGCGCTCCGTCGATACGCAGCTGGGTACGAAGTAGGGGCAGTGTGCGCGCTCCCACGTCGAACCGTGTATAATGCGAAAAGAATGAAGACGTGTGAGCAAAACTACGATTCTTCACCCAGTTTGAAGTTTTCAAAAGCTTGGGTCAGCAGCATAGCCATTCACCTTTTTGTCCAATTTAAAGAGAATTTTGTCTGTGATGGGAGGGTGGGAAAAAGGGAAAATATGTTGGAGAACAAAATGTATTAATTGCTACCAAGAAATTAATGCTTGGGTTCACCAGGATGTTGGGAACATAACGATCGCCGTGGATGTTCTTTGTCGAAATTCCGAGACAGTGTTGCATGTGATGGCAAGCTGGGAAAGGGGAGAAAACGTTACTTGAGAACCATAACTACCTTGCTACTGAGAGGTCAATGCTTGAGACCCATCCTGAAACCTCACCTTTTTTAAAGAAAGCAGAAGGCACAAAAGTTAAACATTACAATGTGGTTTACAAGAAATCAAGATATATGTTGCACCGGGTATTGTGCTAAATGCAACAAGTAATTGCTTGATGAAGAGCATAAGCTACACTTTTCCTCCAAATTACTTGAAAGTGTTGGTAACTGCTCATGGAGTCGCATGAAAATCTTTCAAAGTTATGAGCAGATTCGCCCATGAAATTGATTTCCTGACATTTGGCAAATATTTGTGTGTATGTATTTGCATAATGCAAGCATGGGTACCCAGGGGTGGATGCAGGAGCTTCCTGAGGGGGGGTCAGGTGTTGGTCAACATTATCTATGTTTAGGAACCCCCTTCCCCTCTCCTTCGTTTTACGCTTTAAATTTTACATATGCAGAAATCAAGAGGGGGTCAGGACATCCGGACCCCCCCCCTCTAAGTCCGCCCCTGCGGGTACCATATAAAATTTATTTTGCTCGTCATGGCTCAGAGTGGCAGCGGCTCACACATGTGCTGATGGATCATTTTGCTTTGAAAGAAAGCTTGTTTGCTTATGAAGGTTATCTATTAACTCACCCCTTCAAAAGTAAAACATTCTGTCATCACCTTCTTTTTCTTCTTTTCTTTTTTGAATGTTAAGTGTAATGGTCAGTTGGCATTATACAGAGCAGAAAAATTTGAGAATCGACCTTCTCTGTGCCCGATTCTAACCAGAGCGATAATATATTTGGGTAATATCAGGAGTGCTAATGTGCAGAGTTAGTAGTACCTGTGCAAACAGAGACATGCTGGTACCATGACAGAAATTCCTGTCAGCTACATGTGTAACAACATTGCAAAAAGACAACTGCCATATTTTCTTTTGTTTCATGATGAACATCTGCAGGCTGTTGGTATTAAAGTATATGTCAAGAGCATAATCTGAATTTATGTCAAGAGCCAGGCACGTAGCCAGGATTTTGTTTGGGGGGGGGGGGGGAGGGGGGGGCCCGCCTATGACAAAATGCTGTATGAGGGGGAGGGGGGAGAGAGGTCCCAGCAAAATGGAAGATTTCGGAGGGGGGGGGGGGGGGGGGGGGGGCCCATGGGCCTCCCTCCTGGCTACATGCCTGTCAAGAGCATAATCTGAATTCTACATAAGCATTTTTTTTAATGTGTGCTGTTATAGGGTGGATCTATGTGGAATGGTACTACATTATTTTAGGTAAAGCATGAACATGGGGAGCACTCAAAATTTGTATACACACAGGAGACCATGATGAAGCTGTATTCATCCACAAGACCCACCTTTTCAAGGAGACATTTTTGAAACTTTGAACTTTATCCGAGACATACTTTGTTTGCCAGGCAACATAGGGTTATGTGTGGGAGCTATTAACTACAGCACAGGCACGTAGCCAGGGGGGAGGCCTATGGGGCCCAAGCCCCCCCCCGAAATCTTCCATTGTGCATGGGTCCTCCTCTCCCCCCTGTCCCTCATACAGCCTTTTGTCATGGGTGGGCCCCCCCATGAAACAAAATCTTGGCTACGTGCCTGCTACAGCATCACATGGAGTTGGAATGGCTTCGCTATAAGTATGGAAGTTTTGACTTCGATATGCTTGTGGTGTATGACACTGGCATCCACCTATTGTTCCGGCATCTTAGCCTTCGTTTTAAACATATGTTTTGCGCACTATGGCCTATGTTGCTGCTGCGCCAGAAAACTCCAAAATCATTAATTCATTCAAACATATGTTTAGTGCATGCTTACTCCACACAGAAGAGTTTCACAGTGACTGCTTCCCTGTCCTTTAAATGTTAAAATTCTTTTTTTAATAATTATTATTCAAGCTTGTTTAGTTTTAATCCAGAGTAAGTCATACAATCATAAAAGTAAAACAAAAAAGCCATTTATTTTATTTTGTTCATGAGGAAACAGTGTGCTTGGAGGTTTTTGTTTTTTTTCCTTTTTGTTTTATGATCAGCAGAATTTAAAGGCACCAGCAACTTTTGTGAAACATTTTAATGGTGTCTTCTACACAGAATAAATTCCAGATTTCTAAATTGTAATATACATTTGCTTCGTTCTTGTTCCTTAAATGTTTTGTAGTTTCTGTGCAACATTCAATTCAATGTATGGCTAGTCCACTAACATTGATCCCTACCGAGGAAAAATGAACTAGTCTTGTGCATTTTGATATCAGATGAAATAGGCTAAGGAAAGACAAGATATTGTCTTGAATTGACTCATAGTAGCATGTTGTGCTTGTTTAAGGGCATTTTTTTTTAATTTTTAGAGGACCACAGTAGCCTATGGCAGTAAAGATGACAGTTCTCATACTAACCTAATTGAGCGGCGAGGCCTCATACCTTTCTGTGCTGTTTGTTTGTTAAATGTTACAGCTTAATTAAACATTTTGTGCATAAAATAGGAAGCCAAACAAAATGGCTTTGATATTTCACTTCAACTGTAGCTGCTTATTGGGTCTAGAGTATTGCTGAGTAATTACAGAAACATAAATAATGTACTAAACCAAAACATTAAAAACATATATATATATATATATATTTTCTTGATAAACAAAATTGCCATCATTTATTTAGTTTTTCACAGATATTCAGACAGAACATTGTTGTTGAAAAAATAAATGGTGCAACTGCAATTTTCTTATAGAGGCCTCATCAGTACCGTAAAATACTGAGCATCTGCCAATGTTCCAATAAGCACCCCTTTTGCTACTTTTGAAACATTTAAAAAATAAGCAAATGACATGTCCTCCCCACGACTTTTGAATGCAACTACTAGTTAAACCATGAAACCAGATGCTCCTCCACATCAGTTGCCTCTTGGCGCATGCCGGTTATTGTGATTAGGGTGTTTTTTTATGTTATGCCACTCCTAATGCAATGAAACTTTATGCACATGCACTGGTGCTAAGTGGCAAAGCCCGCCCTACCTTGTGCCTCTTGTGCATATTTGCTCTTGGACCCAATTGTCACCCAACCCCCAGTTCTTCAAGATTATCTCAAAATTTTGGGTGGGCACTGTCTGGGTATTTTACTGTATATACTACCTAACATTCCATGTTCATCTGTTTGCTGCCAAGTTTGTAATGAAACAATATCTGAGCAAACTGACTATGTTAGCAGTACCAGGTGGAGTACAGAGGAAAAAAGAAAAGTTTCTCCGCTCCCTGCCTTGCTCACTGAAGTGACAGCTCTTTGTGGAGGTTTCCCACAAGTGCTGTAGTTGACTGTAACCTGCATTCCTTGCAGAGGCAGACTCGGCCTTTGATGAGCTTCCAGACAACAGCAGGCTGCTGGGTGAGTGATGGATTCTTTTCCATGCTACTTGGTGACTGGTGTTTTCTCTCATTGTGGCTATGCTATTGTGGCATTCTATGTCAACAGCAACTGCCAGTGATGCTTCAGCTTTCAGGATGACCACGAGATGCTAGAAGCTCATCATCATGCATTAGAGCTGAAAATTCGCTTTAGTCTCAATGTCTTAGTTTCTGCATAGAAAATTGATACAAACCCTATACTCACATTCATCATGTGCAATCATGTGCAACTTTTTAAAGGCTATGTTTGTGGTGATGTGCTGAATCCTATAAAAATTCTTCATAGATAAATATTATAGTGCTTCCCCCACAGAAAGAACAACAATTCCTTTTTAAACAAATGCAGCACCTAGGAAAGATTTTAAACTTGCTCGAAGGCACATGACCCCAAAAGTATCAGTGGTGTGGCTTATTTCTATGGTAGCTTGCATTTAGATAGCACATCCCCATAAAATTTCTGAACATATATTAGTCCTCTGAATATTTTTCTTTTCCAAAATTCATTGAATAATGTATGAGATGAGGGGATCTTGCTTTCGTGATACTAGGAAATAACAGACAATGACTGCTGCAAGATGTCTGCCCTAGTGGCCTCCAAAGCATATCTGTAGCTGTTGGGTGCTGTAGACGAAGGATATGCACATGGCCTTGGGGCTGTTGTTCTGTGTAACTTGGGAGGGGGCTTCTGTACGGTGCTATACCTACCTAAACATCTTGAGGGCTATCTAAAAACACTGGCATACCCATCTGATGAGGAAATATAGTTTTCTTTCTCTCAGCCTCATACATCAGAACATGGGTCTCTGTCGGAAAATGTCTTGTTTTTTAGAGGCTGAATTGTGAGGTTGAAGATGCAGTCTGTGGACCTGCTACAGAGAATCATATATTTTTCTGAATTCCTTTCACTGTCAGTGAAAAGTTCTCAATTCCTAAGTTTACTTCCTCAATTAGTTAAGCTTTTACAGGCAGGGGTTATACCTTTCTGGTACATAGAGCATGGACTAATAAACTTATTGTGGAGGGATCTTATTTTGCATGAGCGTTTGTTTTACTGAAGTACCCTTCAAAGCTGCGTGCACACACACATACATTCCAAAACGTCGATATACTAGTGACACTCCTACATTGCAAGTTCTCTATGTGCAGCCCCTAGAATATGCTGCTATGTAGTCAAAATGTCACATTACATACCTTGGAACAAGTGGCATAGCCAGGAATTATTTTTGTGGGGGGCTGAGGTGCCTGGGATGTTCATAACTTGGGGTGTAGGGGTGAGGGGGGGTCAAAATGCATCTGTAAATATAGGGTCAGCTAAATTTCAGGGGGGCTTCAGCCCCCCTGAAATCTGAAAACTTGCTGTGCCACTGCTTGGAACGTCACAATCATGACTCAGTTTTGGGATCACAATGTTCAATGACAAGAAATATCTGTCAGGAGCTCAGAGTGAGCGTAAAAACGTTTGGCTCTCATTGGGCATTTCGTTAAAAAGGGAAACCTTCAAAGGTGGCTTACGCTACCAGATGCTTCCTTTGATGTGTGCAAGTGGAAGATGGCATGCCATCAATGACTCAAGAGTCACACTTGAGTCATTAAAGGGACACTGACACACCGCAAAATAAATTTTTTAATTTTCTGTCGGGTGCTTTAATATGGTGGCAAAAGACTAACCAATCGATATTTTGTTACAGAGTCACATATATTTTTAATGAAGTAAAAAAACGCAACTGCTCGAAACCGAAACCGAAACATGAGCCTGGAGATAATGGCTGCGACATGGGGGAGTGGGGAGAAACGTGGAAAAGGAGCAAGTTGCCAGAAGTCATGTGGTTGCACCTGACTGTGTTTTTCTTTGTTTTATTGGTTCTGCGAAGCATACGAAAAATATGCCCATCGCACGTCACACAAAAAATGCAAACGTCAAACATGAAGTGTTTGTTGTTGTCCGTTTTTTAAGCTCTTACCCTTCGTGTTCGTAAGACGAGCAACGTCTGCAGCCAGGAAACTCGGTGACGTCTTTGTGCGAATCAGCTTGGTGATCTGGTGTGTCGTACGGAATAAATCCTGATTGTTTTGATTGGTAAAAAATTTCACTTTCGAAGCTAGACAGATTCGTTTGTACCGCGAACGATAGTTCTGAAGTAGAGGTCCCACACCCGTCGTCCGCCGCCATTGCTTAGTCCGCTTCGCCCAGCCGTCCAGCCCGCAGCTCCCGTGATACGATGCCATGATCAGAATTAAGCAGTGCACATACTTCCGGTACTCTGTGCAACTCTTTTTTTTTTTCAGTCAATGTATTTGCAGCTTTATAAAAGCCACAAGAGATGGACCTTATATATATATAGATATATTGTGAGCGAAGAGGGGAGAAGGTGATTTTTGAATTTATTGCATTAAAGTTAGGGAAAGGGAAAGACCTTGATTGTATTTCATGTGTCTGATTGGCACGTGATCAGAGAGAAGAGAGTGAGCGCGACTCAAACGCCAATTTTCGGGAGGAGAAAAAAAAAATATTGAGCTGCAAATTGTGTTTTATGTAGCGGGGCTCTCATAAGTCACATAGAAATAAAAACCTTTGCGTGGCATAAATACCCTGTCCCTTTAAGGACGAGAGTCCCTACCGCCGCCTCCTCCTTGTGCTGGCACCAAGCATCTCGTCCTCCCTCTCGTCCACAGTGGTGGACCGTCTCAAGCGGTACCCTGAGAACGAGCGGCTCATTGCCAGCATCCCCAGCCGCATCTATGAGGTCATCTACCCCGTCCAGGTTCGGCACCACGAGAAGCTCGGCATCTCCACCAGGGACGCCACCGCAAACAAGGCATGGACCCTTCTTGCTATGTTGTTTTACGGCGATAGCCGCTGCAGGCTGGTTTCTAAGTCTGGAGCATCGCAAAATGTTAAGAAGGAATGATATGATAATGGTCACCTCAATGCCAGGAGGTGTGACATGATGTCTCATGATCACTTAATTCCTATAGGTTACATAATCACGTAAGCTATAGTTACATGTAAAGTATAATTACATGATCATAGAAGCTTTAGTCATGCAATCATCTGAACACTATAGGTGTCATGGGATCCACCAGAGTCACATGATCACATTACCTGATCATGTTACTAGGCACCTTAATGTTACATACTGATTGATGAAGGTGTCATGTGACATCACTACTTTACTATGGTGTCACGGGACGCTGTCACCACATGTAATGTCACAGTAACGTCTGACACTGTAACCTCATTCTGTCATGTAATGGGATGTCATGGGACATTATAATGTGACACCATAACAACACATGGCACGCTGATATCACGTGGCATGCTGATATTGTGCGACACGCTGATATGTTGTGACATGCGGATATCATGTGACATGCTGGTATCACATGACATGCCAATAATGTATTGTGACATCCGGCATACTGATGTCATGACGTGACAACCATCTGCTAAATTTGGCAGGGAAAGCCCACTACGCCTAGTTCATATGTCACTAGACTTAACGCAGAGTATCAAGGTGGTTCTTTTTACCTATATTCTCTGTTCTACTGTGCAGACTGCTCCATAGTTTAAGCTCTGTGTTAGATGTTTTTGAAAAGTCTGGTTAAATACCATATACTATATTTTCCTTAAGACAGCATAATTATTGTTTTGCAGTCTTGTGTTTTGCCTACCTCAAAAGTATTAAAAAAAATAAAAAAAAACTCCAGGTTGTCATTGCATTTCTAAATCTAGTTTTGAATCCAGGATGCTGTTTTTGTACTCCCAGAATTGCATTAGCACTGCATAACCCTCCCCTCTTTTCAACTTCTTTGCTGGTAATCGGGGTTGGGTACAGTTATATGCGGTTGTTCTTTAGTAGTGCAAACATCCTGCTGCTTTGGCATCAGAGAATACCATTTATCAGGCAATGTTTTTGCACTAACAGGCAATGCACACAGCTGTGGTGAGATAGTTGTACCTGATGCACCTTTGCGAATGAATGCAGTCTTAGATTTGCATGCATTAAATCCTGCGTTGATTTGTCTTCTCCACAGACAAACAAGCATTTTCATCAAACATCGCTGCTCATCAAGGCATTTCATTACAAGTTCCGGCTGGAACTTGAGCTCAATGAGTGAGTATCTGCTTACTATCACTGCATTTACGAGTCAGGCTTGTAGGGGGCAGTAGGCATTTTGCTGGGGGGGGGGGGGGGGGGGGGGGGGGAGGGGAGGGGAGGGGAGGGGGGAGGGGGGAGGGGGGAGGGGAGGGGAGGGGAGGGGAGGGGAGGGGAGGGGGAGGGGGAGGGGGAGGGGGAGGGGGGGGAGAGGAGAGGAGAGGAGAGGAAGGGGAAGGGAAGGGTGAAGGGGGGGGTGGTCTGCTGTGAAGGTGCTGTGATATGATGTTACGGCCGAAATGTTGCCAAGATCTATTTTGTTGACCCAATATTTGCCGTCACCAAAAACAAAACTTTTGGCTGGTGTATATACATTTTTTCATTAAAAAAAGTTTACCTTGGGGGGCTTAGGAGGAGCAGTTGCCCCTCCCTGCCCCCCCCCCCCCCCCCCCCCTCTCCGCGACATACAAGTATTCAGTGTGCAGCCGATTCATCAAGCACAGAAGAGGAAGATCTGTAGGACAGTTGGAACGATGGGGCTATATCTACCTTCACCTGCTGAAATGCTGCAAGGCATAAAACAAAGCACAAACAGACAAACCAAAAAAGTGTAATTACAAAAAAAAAAAAAAGTAATCTGGGGACTCTCCCAAGAAATATCTGGGGAACTGCCGAGGGTAATCTGGGGACCCCCGAGGGTTCTCTGGGGAACCCAGTTCGAGAACCCATCGTCTATGATAAATCTCAATGGTGCTGCACACTGCCGCGCTCTCCCTTGCAGCTACCTGCTGGCCCCGAAGATGCTGCAGAAGCACCTGCACCCGGACGGCATCTGGCAGCTGTCGAGCCAGGAGGTGGAGCACTGCTACTACCACGGCACCATCAAGGACTACCCGGGTGCCGTAGCTGCCTTCCGTACCTGCAGCGGGATCAGGTGTGCCCCCCCCCCCCCCCCCTCTCTCTGAAAAGCCTGCAGACCTGCTTATGGCACGAGATGCAAGAAATGGCAGCCATAGCTTGGAGCCACTCCCATAAAAAGCCTGCGCAGATGCAAGCACCTCTGCAAGCATTTCTGCAGAGCATTTCTGCAAGCATCCTGCAGACCTGCTTATGGCACGAGATGCAAGAAATGGCTGCCATAGCTTGTAGCCACTTCCATAGAAAGCCTGCAGAGATGCAAGCACCCCTGAAAGCATCTCTGCAGAGCATCTTTGAGAAGTCTGCAGAGATGCAAGAAATGGCTGCCATAGCTTGTAGCCCCTCCCATAGAAAGCCTGCAGAGATGGAAGCACATCTGCAAGGATCTCTGCAGAGCATCTTTGAGAAGTCTGCGCAGATGTAAGCATCCTGCAGACCTGCTTATGGCACGAGATGCAAGAAATGGCTGCCATAGCTTGTAGCCACTCCCATAGAAAGCCTGCAGAGATGCAAGCACCTCTGCAAGCATCTCTGCAGAGCATCTTTGAGAAGTCTGCACAGATGCAAGCATCCTACAGACCTGCTTATGGCACGGGATGCAAGAAATGGCTGCCATAGCTTGTAGCCACTCCCATAGAAAGCCTGCAGAGATGCAAGCACCTCTGCAAGCATCTCTGCAGAGCATCTTTGAGAAGTCTGCACAGATGCAAGCATCCTGCAGACCTGCTTATGACACGGGATGCAAGAAATGGCTGCCATAGCTTGCAGCCACTCCCATAGAAAGCCTCCAGAGATGCAAGCACCTCTGCAAGTATCTCTGCAGACTTCTGATGATTCAAGATGCAGGAAATGCTTGACACTACTCTTTTGCAGAACAAATCTTTATGGGTGGGATGAATGAGGTAGTCTTTGATTTAACATTAAGGTGTCTTCACGGAATGCCATTTGTGCTAAAATTTTACCATCATATTTTTTTTTGTCTTGCTCGTTTTTGCAAAAAAGTATATAGTATACATAGGCAGCAATGTGATGGAAAGACCTCACTGACAACATCATCACTTAGACTGACCCTGCATTTTTTTGTGCACTCTAGTCATTATTGAGCAATGTTTCCATTGTTATTTTTTGGCATATGCAAATAGTGGACTTCGAGTTTGAAGCGAATTAAAGCGAATAGTGGTCTTGGCCGATGACTTTTGAATCGAACATTGAGTAGTTTCTCCAAGCGCTTGACTGCTGTTGCACCATGCTTAAGCGAAAACCCTGCTGAACTCTTGAAGGTTGTTGCCAAGTTTCCACTTGTCTATTTTAGGCTAAGCTAATTTAAATTACCTATATTTTTGAACTGTGGCCTCACAAAGTCAAATGCCTACTGTGGGATAACAAGGATCGATGAATTTGACATAAAATTCATCCTATAGACATGTCCAACTACACCTAATCGAAGGATTTATAAATCTTGCTATATCCAAATATACTTTCTTTCATCTCAAATGTAAAAAGAAAAAAGATATTGAATGGTGAATGCGGATTGTCAGGGCATTTCTGCCTAACATATACTCTTGCATAATAGCCACAGTTTAATTTTAAAAGTTTTACTGAAATGCAAGTATCAATATTCATAAAGTTTACATTTCTTTAAAGGGACAATGAAGAAGGTTTTATTTAATTTTTTTAAATGGTGTTTTAATGCTTCTTGGGAACATAGCATGCGGCCCAATTTTTTGTAGACATTTATGACGCGTATTTATGTGCTTACGAAAGAAGTAAAGAAGCCGAAACTGAACCATCTCCAGTCTCGTTTCTGGGCCTCCGAAAACGGAGGTGATGTAGGGAGTGACGTCAAGTGTGAATAGTCGGTATCGGTAGTATTTAGGAGATCGAGACTCTGGTTACCGCGGTGGGTTATAGCAGCGCGGTGGCGTGGTCGTTGCGCCGACTCTGTCAACATGGACGAATGCCGCTCTCGGGAGCAAGTTCGAGCTTCCGTTCAGTGACCAAACACCAACGGAACGGAAGTACGTGTGTGGCGGCCTCTGCCATCACCCGACGGAGACCGCCCAGCTGGCAGTGAGCGGCCCGCATGCCGAAGGACGGACGTGGGGGAGATGCCGAAGGGAAAGCGTCAGCGATCCCGCCGTTCCGGGATCCGGTTCTTCCGCGGACTTCCTCCTTTCGTCGTCAAAGAACACGAACAGCAACCCACATGTGAAAACTAGCGTCGCCCGAACGAATACTGGTCTTCAGACGACCATTAGAACAGCCATCTACAGCTACCATTTTGCAAAATCTTTCGAGTACCGTGTTCTTTTTTAATTTTATTTTGTTGGCCCATAGTTGCTCGTTGCCGGTTTCGCGTCCAACGTAGCAAAGAAAAATACAATGATGCTGTTTATTTACGGTTTAGTAATCATTTCCGATCCGATTTATACTTTTGATGGTTATTCAAGCGGAAATTAGAACAGTATTTCTAAAAATCAAAAACCAAAACGTGACCGAGGGCACGTTTCTCGTTTCGACCAATCGCTGACGCGTCTCTTGTGACGTCGCGCTCCTTGGCCCCGCATCGGTCACGTGAGCTCCGCTTCTCCTGGCTTCTCCCGCAACTCTTGGGGCGTCGCCCCAGTCGATCCCGGTACGATTATTACCGCGACTGTTTAATTGATTTGCGCGGCACACAAGCGCCGGTTTCGGCTGAAATTTGGGCAACGTGGCCTGAGATGTGCCTGGAACCCAGTTCAATCGCCAAAAAGATTTCCGAAATTGCCTTCATTGTCCCTTTAAATACACGAGGCACGCTGGTGCACTATCCCGCTTTGAAAGTGTGCTTTTCTACTATAAATGCGACTGCAATATTTGTACTTTCTAAAATGGTGATTGCGGCAGGTTAGCTTCTTCGAGCAGGCTACTTACCGAGCTCCGGTGAACTGTGGAGAAGCAACACCCACAAAGCTCTCTTCTGCGGGTGCTGCTTCCCTGCAGTGCACCCGTGCACGCTAAGAAGCGCGCTCAACGTGGCTAACCCTCCGCAATCAACATTCCGAAAAATAAGGATATCACGGTTCATCTTGAAGCGAATATCAAATAGCGTATCATTAAAAATACTATTCTTCATCCGTCCTCTCCGGTTTCTTCAGATATGTGTCTTAATGTGTTCACAAAATAAAAGGTGACAAGCGAAACAGACTTCATGTCTATGGAGTGGACACACCAATGTAGGCGTAGCATCAAGGCAGTGCTAACATTTATGAAATGGGAGCATAATTAATCTATTGCCAAAGTACAACTTTCTAATATGTTATAAAATGTTCCCTGCGTCTGACAATGTATAGAGTTCATCTTGCAATGCAGCAGTACTCAAAAGCACCCAATATCTTGGCAGTCTTTGACAGCTTTTTTGCCATAACCTGTACAAACTTTTTATTTGGTTAAAGGCCATTTACCCTGACTGTATATGACATCACATTCTATTTGTAATTCTGCCGAAGCAGAAATTTCGCTTCCTCTGCAAATGAGCTAGACTTAGTTAGGTATGTTACTTTGTGCTTCTGCTTCTGTCTGCTTTTTTTCTCGAAACAGAAATCAATAAAATGTCAGATGAGAGTCAGCGCAGTGTTCATACACCATTTTGTGTTGTTCCTTGTTACATCTTGCACTGTTTTCGTCATCAGCACCCATTGCTCTTTGCATTTGCAGTGGCATCATCCACATCCGCAATGAGACTTTTGTCATTCACCCTTTCTATGGAGGTGACCTTTCGGTGAGTGCTGTTCCGGACGACTGCCTTCGTCACCTTTTGGTGGCCTTTGCCTTGTTAACGCCCGCCTTTCCTCTGACGGAACAGAGGTTGCATCCCCATGTCATCTACAAGTACTTCAATGTCAACAAGAACCCCTACATTTGTGGTAAGCCACTGGCACGGCCACAGAGGCTGGGATATCCGACTTATTATGTCGGGACTCAGTTTTCTTCTAATTCTGGTGCTAGATTTTGTTGAACCCAGGGCTGACAGCATATGATCACAAAACCAAATACAAAACAGTGTATAACGAGGGGGCAGGGGATTATTTGTCAGCTGTTCTTCCGATTAAACAATCCCCAAGATACCACAGATCCTTGCAAAACTACCGTAGTATCCCGAAACATAGCCTGCCTAAAATCGAAAGAAAATCGTGCAAAAATAACGAGTGGGCTAACTTTTGGTGTGCTATTAAATAAAGTAATTAAAAAAATGCTAGCTTTAGATTTGGTGACTTCTGAAACTTATGATTTTAGGGACCAAAGGCGACTCCTTCCCAGTCAGCAATGTTTGCTTATTTCCCGCCGTGGCTAGGTAACACCATTCTGCCGAAGTCACCATTGGCCAGGGCCCTGCAATCACTAAAGTGGGCTACCTTTTGATGTTCATGAAGAAGTAGCACATAGTGCCAAAAATAGGGGTGGGTTATCTTTCGGGGATGGGGCATCTCGGGATAGTGCGGCATGCACTGCAACAAGTTCATAAAATGTGCTGCGGGATTGGTCTATATAAATAGCTATGTCGCGCGGATCTTCATACATTGGTCGGACAAAGAGGTGTTTCAATGCTCACACGTGTGAACATGCAGCGGCTACAAGGACCACCCCGTTGGGGTGTCTCACCACCCATTGTAGCCGTTGCCCATGTGCTCCTTTGTTTAGTGACACTAAGTTTTTGGCAAGGTATCCCGATAGGGTATCTCGAGAGCTGCGTAGCATATAGTATTAAATCAAAGCAAAAGGTATGCAATCTATAAGTGACACGTCCATTTCCTTTTCGTGAAAGAAACATGCATTCTTGGAGCAGGGCCTACACCTGCACAGCATTTTGCCATGGCTATACTACAAGCGATTGGTTTTCCAATAAATGTTAGAATAGTGAGTGAGCCCTGTGTCGTCCACTTTCTCATCCTTGTGTATTTTTTTACACAAGGATGAAGTGGGCAGGAAAGCATTGATTAAAGCTAGAAGTCACATGCGCCAACATAAAAAGATAAAAAAAATAGAATTGTGGCTTATCTGACTTTTGAATAGCTGGAAAAAAAAAAAAAAAAAACACATTTACTGGGTGTCTTCTGCTGGTGACATACTTGGTGTTCGAGATTGTGACTTGCCACTGTTTTTTTCCCGAATATTCAGTTTACTTTCTTTGTTTCTTTTTGATCTGCGAGTCCATCGTTTGTCACCCTTTCCAGCTTTCTATTGTTCTTGTGTGGACAAGCAGTGTGTGACATGGCCCGATAGAATTGTTCAGTTAACGTTTTATTATTTAACTGTTTGTGTGAATTTAAATCTTGAAATAACCCATTCAAATCGTGCTATGATGTTCTGATGAGTCGAATTGGCTATTATAGGAAGGGGCGATCTGTGGCCGAAGGTACTGACTCACTCCAGCTCTGAGCGCGTGTAGCGACAGCTCGTGCTGCAGGACCCAGGAATCCTGGGTTCAGTCTCCATCCCTGCCTGTTTCAATCTGGATGAGCATCATACTGGCATGCGGTCGTGTATTCGCGACTCCAGCGACCTATAGGGGGCGCCACCACCAAACAAACATGGCGGCTGAGTCCAGGTCACGTCGGCTCGGCTGCGTCGCCTGAATGGGTGGCGCATTCAATTTAACAAATTTTCTTTTGTTGAATGCCCAATTTTATGGATATTTGAACTGAGACAGTTGAGTGTAGCCGGTGCGCATAAACTTGCCGAGCATAGTTTTTTTTTTGCCGGTGTTTTTTGTTCTTTTTATGTCAAAACTTTCGTTTCGGAGACTTCGATCAAAACCGAAACTATGGGCTCTGAGAGACGGTAATAGACTCTAATTAGTTTTGATCATCTAAGGAAAGCGGCGAGGGCTACAAGATTGTTCCACCAATAGTAATTTTTAGCTAACTCGCATGCCTCGACCATGCGACTTATCTGTCCGCAAAATTGAGCTTTTGTGCCTGTCCGCGTTTCAAGAAACAGCTCGAGTCGTGTGCTCGGTCAAGAACACAGGCTGCAGGAAAATTAAAAAAATTAAGCAAGCGCTTCCTGAGCCAAGGAGCATGTCAACTCGCTGGCGCTGGCGCACAGGCACGTTTTAGTGTCTCTCCGACTTTTACTTTGTGCTGTGGGTATTCTCAAGCTCCACCGTCTCTCACCCATCGTTACAAAACAAGATGATTACCCGGCTCATCCCCACGCCACGTCGTTCGTCCAGATCTCCGCCACTGCCTGTGCTCGGGACTCACTGGGCCGCTGGCTGAGTGCTAGGCCTAAGGGTATGCCGACCCACACCCGTATCCGCCAGCCACAGTTTTTGCTACTGCTTCTCCTTGCCGGCGATATATCGTCGAACCCCGGCCCACGTCCCAGTTGTCCCCGCTGTGACCGAGCCATCTACGACAGCGTCGCTGCTTTGCAGTGTGACAGGTGTAATGCGTGGATGCACCGCAAGTGTGAACTACTTTCCCTTCGATCGTACAGACGACTGTCGATAACATCCGAAGAGTGGCGGTGTGGCGGCTGTCAACTCCCGGCATTCGACGACAGCGTATTCCCGACGCCCGCTCCTCGGTACTGCACTTCTACCACCAGTCCTACGGGCCTCAACCCTGTGTCTACCGTACCGCAGATTACGTCAACAACGTCGAGGCCCAACGCTCGTCGCACAAGCAAAACGACATTACCTATTTGGTTCTCTAACCTAAGGTCAGTGAAAAACAAACTACCAGACTTCCGAGTGTTAATTGAGTCTCAACTGGACACCATATTCGCGGCGTGTGAAACGTGGTTGGACTGCTCAGTCTATGACAGCCAGCTTGTTGAATTGGCCCACTTCAAAAACTTCAGGAAAGATCGGAACAAATCTGGAGGCGGAGTACTGCTCGCTGTTCCCTCACATATCAAATGCACTAGACGACTCGACCTGGGACAACATGGCCTGGAGGCAGTATTCGTAGATCTCCACAGAAAAGGTGGTTTACTACACCTGTGTGTTGTCTACTGCCCACCTGGCAACAAAGTAGAAGCCTATGATTACCTGCACAAATCACTATCTGCACTTTTACGCCTGGACAAACGGTATGCAAACATCTGTGTCGTTGGGGACTATAATGCACATGTCAACTGGTCCAACCCTACCACTCCAGTGCCTGCCGACCCGCAAGATGACGTCCTTCCTAACAGAATGGAATCTCTTGGGTTGACTCAAATGTGCCACGAACCAAGCTACACAGCCAACGGGAAACGTGACTCATTCCTTGACCTTATCTTCGTATCAAGCCCCACACTTATCGCAAATTGCTTTGCAGAAACCAGCCTAGCCGGCTGCGATCACAGGGCCATCGTGACGGAAACCTATATGAACTTCCCGAAATCAGGCATTCATAGCAAACAACTAAAACGCTTTGCTGAGATCGACCTCAAGCATCTCAAACTTGTTAAACCGATTAAGTCTACCAAAGATTATGATGACCTTCAGCAGGACCTTGACAGGGTACACATATGGACCACCGTAAACAAACTACCCCTTAGCGCCTCTAAATCTAAATCAGTGTACTTCACAACCCAGAGGAAGGTGCCATGCCCCCTTCCCCTCTTGAGGATCAACGACGAAGTTATCAACCGCAGTGACAACATCAAGATACTTGGAGTGACTCTGGACACCCGACTAACCTTCTCAAACCATGTTCATTTCATTGCATCGCGTTCCCGCCGTCTGCTGGGGTTCATACAAAATATCAGCAGGGGCCTAGGACCCATGGTGATGGCGAAACTATACACCGCTCTTGTTCTGCCCATCCTAGAATATTGTTCACCCATCTGGTCCCCTCGATCCACGTCAACACAAGACATTCTGGAGCGGATCCAGCGGAAAGCCGCATACGGGGTCTACGCCCGGAGTTCCCCGATCCCTCGTCTCCAACCAAGCGACATTTCGACGAGCCAGCTACTCAGAACCTCAGGATGGACAAGCCTCGCTACCAGGAGAGACATGGCCACCCTGAGACTTTTAGCAACCATCATTGGACCAGGGATACCCCAAGATGATTACCTGATCACAGTCCCACGCAGGAACCACCGTACCGGTCATCTGGAGCCCCTGCTCGCAAGAACTGAGCGCCACGCGAACTCATGCCTCGTCCGCGCTGTACAACTATGGCGTTCATTGCCACCAAGAATTGTCAGCATGCCCATGAGTGACAAACCGGAAATACTGGAACTTTGTCGCGAGGCTGGAGCACACCTGCGATCACACGCATAACCCTGCCCCATCCCTCACGGTGCATCACTGCCCCGCCCTTCATTACCTCACTGTTCATTAATCACTAACATAATCACCCCCTCGAGACGGGCCTCACAGGCATTATTGTACGGGCTACACGCCTTTCTGTGACGCCTGCGCTCACGAGCGCAAATAAATACCAAATACCAATACTCATATTTCAATTCAGGTTTTAGTAGAAATCGAGAAGTCATTTTGTTGAATATGCGGATTATGTATTATATTACGTACTATGTCCCACTAAAGCAATATTAGTATATTCTTCGGGTTGAAATATGAACTTAGTACACTAACTATTAGGTGTGAACTGCTGAATAAAAGTATATTTGACAGACAGAGAGATACTACTTAAACTTAGCCAAATGGTTCTAGCCGGTAGAACGGAAACGAGTGCGGACTAACTGAAGAGAGTCTTCATTGGAGATTCACGCAGAACCTCTCAGCATTGAACTTGACTTCGAACCCTGAACGGATAAAATGAGTATTTTTTGTGGCCGGTCAACCCGAGCAATATAGACGTATATTGCTGCTGGCTTCGACAAGGGTTATAATATAAATATAGGAAGCGCGATAGATCCTAATGTCTAACTTTGCGAGACGCGTCCCCCACCTTTTGGAAGCAGATAATTTCCCTCATTAATCTTATGCAGCGAGCAGGTTTTCTGAATCAAGTAATTGCGAAATTAGTCCAACTCCTTCAATGTGGTCTTTTTCAGCGAAAAGCCACCAAGATGAATAGCCAAAACACCGGCCGGCGTTATTGGCTAAATTAACTTGAAGCTAATCGAGCACAACCAAACTCAAGGAAAACAGCTATCGAGCCTTCCCACTCACTTGACTGCAACATTGGTGTTCTCTCCAGTAAAACACTTCGTCTGTCGACCTCAGTCCACTGTTCTACATCCTTATAAAGAAACCACTTATCAGTTACCAAGCAGTCGTCACTTTGAATGTGATTAGAGACAGACGGAGAAATCAAAACGTTTTTCCGTGATTCCTCCTCATCCAAAAAATTGAAAGCACGCGACCGTGTGTTGTGGAGTAAACGGGCTTTGAAACACGTGATGGAAAGAAACAACCTACTGAGGCTTCACCACACTAATGAACACTCAGGCAAACTTAAGAAATTTTCGGATCTTCATCAAATTACATTGCTCGCCCCCGCGCCGACAGCACGTGTCCGTGAAAGCCATCAGAGACGCGGCGGGGCGCGGAGCGACCTGGACCGACTGGTTCCCGGTTTTCCCGCTTGGCGGTGTCCGTTTTGCTGGAGTCGCGAATACACCTTTTCCACAAGGGCGCAGCCATCTTGAATGTCGTCACTTCTGGTATGCGTTAAAACAACATTTTGATCTCTCCACGCTGCTGGAGGTAAAAATGTACGATTGTCACACATTTTTGTTTTGCCTCACCTATATTTTATCGCATATTCCAGGCTGAAATGATTTATTATTTTTTCGTCCCGCATACCAGATTTGGAACCCACATGACTGAGAATGAAAGGAAACGAAAAACGTCTATAACGACTGCGTTATGCACACAGGCTGGCAGTGGTACTGCACTGGCAAAATTTCTCATCTAGAGCCGAGACACCAGATGCCCATTGGTGCTGGCTAACTTCCAGCTGTCTAAAGCATACACACAACACAATTACAAAAGAAAAAAATGGGCTGCACTCTTTTTATTATTTTGCTTGCTGCTAGGAGAAAAAAAACAAAAAAAACAATTGAGCCAAGTTGGGCTAAAGCTTATGTTTACTCGGGCTCATGTTTTAGAAACCCAGGCTCATGTTTATGTTTATAAGACTCGTCAAGCTCGAGCCGAGTTAGGCCGGGCCCAGAAATTTTGATCTTTGTAAAACTCTAGCATACCCTGCTGTGTATCTACAAAGCAAATATACTGACATATAGTTACATATGCGTTATAGATTCTTTCATGATTCTCAACGCAGGAAACTCGCGAATGCATGAATGGGGGTTCAAACACTTCCGCAAGACCCTTCCAGTGCCACCCAGATTCAAGGTGAGTGCACATCGGCATCTCTTCCCACATTTGCTTTGCACTTTCATGTTCTCTAGCAGATCTAGATTCCCTTCCAAAATATATGAAGTGTCTGCAGTGAATCCTGGCACATCAAAACGAGCCAGAAAAATTGACGTCTGCTCATAGAAAGCTCATACTTTCACCGAATTTGCATCTACCATAATATCCCGAGAGATAGTCCAATTAAAATCAGGAGCAAATCGGGTGAAAATATGGAGTCACGTGGGATAAATCTCGGTGTACAATCAAGAAAAGTTGAAAAAATGCTATTTTTACGTTATTTGTTTCTTCCTAGCTTGTTATGATGGCGAGGGGCAACAAAGCAAACATGACTATATTTCCCAGTACAGTACAGATATCTAGCCATAGCTAACAAGCTGTATTTACGCCGAGGTCATCATTGATCCCAACACTACTATTACTAAGAGTGGGCTATCTTTTGGTGTTTAAAAAATAGTAAATCAAGTCAAAAACAGGGGGCAAGTTTTCTTTTGGGGGTGACATCTAGTGGGATTTTACGGTAGGTGGTGCATGTTACTTGGAGAAATTTCAAGGTGGAGCTCCCTTTCTGTAAAAATTAGACCAACAAACTTGCCAATGTCAACGGCAAACATGTTCACGATGACTGACCTGGCAATAATTGTAACTCGTGGCGCCATCTTCTAAAAGATGTAGCAAGCAGGCGACAAAGTGCGTCATCTGCTCACTGCACGTCTCGGGAGATGGCGCCACGAGTTGCAACCACCGCCACCTCAGTTGTCTGCAAACACGTCCTCCGTTGACCCTGGCAAATTCGTTGGTCACATTTTTCACAAAAAGGGGGCTACGTCTTGAAATTTCGCCAGGTAAAACCTACCACTTTGGTGCACGTTCGGAGAAAGTTCCAGCCTTGTATGTGCATGCGCCGATATTTCCGGCTTATTTTACAGTGGCAGGATCCATTGTAGACACCCTATATTTTGCCTTGTTTGTCGATTGACGCGCTTTCCACTGCACCCTGATTATCGCACCGTTCTAAACTTCCAGACGAGGATCCACCCTCGGGCTGACAAGGCAAGTATATCTGGCTGCACGCCTCTGCTCAGCAGCAGAGCAAAATGTAGTGTGGAACATAGTGCACCTCTCGATATTACAGTTAAGCCCATTTATAGCAAACTTGAATACAGTGAAGTATTCTCTATGTCGAACACCCCAATATTTAGAACAAAATTGCATGTAAAAAAGTACCTTTAGAACAAACAACCCATTGACTATATTGAACTAAGAAAAACATGGACTTGCAAAACGTGCAAGTACCCATCCCATATAAAAAGAAAATTGAAAATACTCAAGTCTCCTTTAGAAGAGAAAAGAAAGAGGAATGCTTAAAGTTAAAGCCTCCCAAACAGCAAACATAAAGAGCGACCGCAGAAAGTGCAGAAAGACAAACACACGCAAACATGCATACAAAAAAAATAAAAAATGAGCAAAAAAAAAAAAAGTCAAGTTTAGTACACACTGCTGGGAGCAGTCTCCACTAAGTTTGTTTTTCTCCTCGCCAAGTGCCCTCCCATTGCAAAATTTCAGAGGCCCCGTCGGCTGCTCCCTAACCACTGTTTGTTATATTTTGTGAGCTCTCTTTTTCGTTTGACTTTTGTGTGTTAATCTGGTTCGCACAGGAAATGACAACCGTCTTTGTCGCTCTTTGACAAGCTGGAAATGATTCCTTGGTGCAAAGTACAGATTTTAGCGATCATGGGGCACTCGCGGCTGAATAGGCGGCGGCGTTTGCATGCAACCAGCAATCCTCGCTGCGGCTCAGCTCGGCTGCTCTGCGCAGCTCTCTTTTTCATCTCTGTACAGTTCAACTAATTTTGTTTGGACTCTACCTTCACGAGAGCAAAATCACATTTTTTTCAAGGACAAAATTGTTATACTGCAGATCGTGGATCTAAGCCCAGACAAAAAGGCTTTGCGGTCAGCTAAAATGGTAAAAGATTTTTCTTTCTGCGCTACCGCCTGGGTGCTCCAATTCTGTAAACATCCTTGCAGAATAAGCAGTTTGAAAGCTACTTTTTGTTCCAGCTGTTAGCGCGCCTAGAGCTTCATCAGTTACATTTTCGCGGGTCATAAATGTTTTTGCACAGTCCGCTGAAGAATGCATTAACGCGTGTCTACCATAGTGTCAAGAAAATAATTGTTCATTACGAAGCCTCAGCCTCAAATTATGCATTAGGCCCTGTTTTAATATAGCGAATTACGGGATATATCGAACTAAAATGCGTGTCTGACAGAGTTTGTTATAAATGGGTTCAACTCTATACTCACTGACAGGACGAGAACTGCGGGGCATCCCGTCTAAAAGTCCGGCCTCCAGCATGTGCTCGTTGCCTTCCACCATGCTTTGGCTGCTTGTGCAATCGCGAGACTCATGAGACGCCGAAGCACCATCAAAGGCGGGAAACTCGAGCTGGAGGCGGGACGACTGAAACTTTTTCCTACTGCGCTCTCACCCTGTCAGTAACTATAGTGTGTCAGTGCTGCTTGTGTCTAATGGTCGTTAGCTGGCACGCCACCCGAGGGGCGCTTTTGGTTGGCGTTTTTCGTTGAGGTCCAAAACTGTCGACACTGATGTCTTGCCTGCTTCCCTTTCAGAGAGATGTGCGAGAGGTGTACAAATTTATAGAGCTTGCCCTCGTGCTGGACCAAGCCATGGTAAGCACCATCGAAGTGCCACTCATTATTAATGCGAAAGAATTAACTGTCCTATGGAGCGAAGCCAGCGTTGTCTGTAGCAGCGAAAAACTGCACCTAAATGCCATTTGTACCAGCGAAATACTGCATATCGATTTCCATTGGCTGAGCGAAACGACACCTAAATTCCCATTGACTGCGACGCGTCATGTGGCTCCATAGCAACGTCGTCATCATTACTAAGGAGCCAGCTGAACTGCTAGCGGTGCAGTGGGAGGGGGGGACGCGGGTATGCATAGGCCTGACGTTGCACTTTGAGGTCTAACGTCGTCAACCGGTATGCGCAGCTGTTTGATGGGGGGGGGGGGACGCGGATATGCGCTGGCGTGACGTTAGGTCTAATGTTAGGCCTAGTGTTATGATTTGAGGCCTAACGTCGTTATAACTGGTACCCGCAGCTAGGACGATGATGATGATGAGAGGACACGTAATTTCAGCTCGCACCGTGCCGAGCTTCGCACTCCCGCCACTGCTTCACCCAGTGGTGCAGCAGTCACCAGCGAGCTAGGGTAGTCTGCGCGGTGCACTGCTGCACTCCCTGCCAGCACTGCAGCTGCTTCTGCTCCTCTCGGTGCTGAGGAGCGTGGTGGTGCCTGAAGCATTTATATCAGCGGCAGCCGCAACCTCGGCAGTAGCGAAACGTGACCGTCCACACCAGTACGCCGCAGACGAACTAAGGGAGTGGAAGAACGACATTAATGCTTTCGCATTCACAACTCATAAGGAATGCTTAGGTGTCCTTGTTATTTTTTTGTGTGTGGCAGAAAATCATCCTAGAGGTTATATATGAGGTGTGTAGAATGGCCCATTCTTAAGGTGTTGTGTGGAGGTATAGCAAAAGCTCTTTTTTTTTCCATTTTTATCTGGAGAAATAGAACAACATTAATATGTTCCATGGCTACGGTTCCTTGTTTTTGATGTTTGTCCCGGGTGAAATTCGAAGGGTGCTTTTTTGAGTTTGCTTTTGTTATCAGAAATCCGGCGTCTATCGAATTTTACTTTCCATAAATTTCCAGTTCTCCACTATTGGGTGTTTATCAGATTTAATTTTATTGTATTGCCAGTTCTTTGAAGTTATATAATATTATGAATGAGAAAAAATAATGTACACAGACAAACGCATAAGAAATATAGAAAAGCATTTTAGTTGTGAGCACAAGGTGTTTATGGCAGATGGGCCCCTTTTGGATGCTAGCATTGTTGAGAGGAAGGCTTGTAAGCCTCAGCTTGCATTACAAAAGCATTGGTCACTGGGCAGAGTAATTTGTTTTTTGCAGCTTTTGCAGTACTTTCTTCAATGAAACAATGATACACTCTGCTTTCAGTTCGATGCACGCAATAGCACGAAGTCGGAAGTGATGAGTGATGCCATCCAAATCGTCAACTGCGTGGACATGGTAAGTGCAGGTCTGAGTTTTCGAAAATGGTCTGTCCTCTTTGTTTTTTTGTAAAGGCTCCGTATTCAGAGTATGTTCTAGTTACCATTTTTGTTGGCAAGTCATCCCCTCGTATGCCACAGCAGTGATGTGATTGCTGCGCCAATTGTGCCAAACTGCGCCAGGGGGCTAACCCTGCTACATCCTGCTACATTTTTCCAAAATATGGGTAATCTGCACCAAGCCTGCACCAAAAAGACTTTTGGTTGCCTTTCAAAACCGAAACTAAGCTGAGCACCGTAATTGAGCTTGCGTGTGTTATGTGGCACAAGCGGCCGACCGACACAAAGTACCCTGCATCAATTGTCCATCCTGTCTTGCATGAATTTTCCGCCGTCTCGCACCTCGTGCTGTCGTCGTCTTGTGGGTCTCGTCTCGCATCTTTTTTTAAAAATATTTTCAGCGATAGACGCCGGTGTGTGCGGATGCTCCGAAGCTAGCGTGACGGGTACCAGCCATGCCGTCATGCTGTGAAACGAAACCTCGTTTTTGCGCGGCGGGAGTTACTTTGTGAGCTGAAGCACTCGCTCCTAAAAGCAACAGGCGTGGGAAAACTATGTTTGGTTCCTACCTTCCAGTCACCCTGGTCGACGTCGGGTGTTGCCGTTATCACGTCGCTGCACATATGGCGCTCTCTAAAATGAAACTAAGTACTGCCGCATGTTCAACAACATTCCTGTTCTTGTTTAAATCATACGTTACTACAAAAATCCCTCTTTAACTCAAAGACTGCTGTGTCGAAGTATTTATTACCTAAGTTTCTCTCGATCGGCTTTCTTTCGAGCGGGACCCCAGTACGTGAAAAATCTGCCGCGATAAGGAAGTTGGTGAAGAGAAGTGAGCTAAAGCAAAGAAAGCATTGTCTGCGCTGAACCCGCACAGCGCGCTTCTTTGTTTCGAATTCAGTCGTTGCACAAAGCAATCCAAAATCTTTTTGACCCTGACTTGTGATGTCTGACATCGATGCACTCTGGTTCTTTTTTTTTTTTATGTGTGTTTAGCTTGTACCTTGCTCGCCTGCCTGACAATAACGCGCCGGACTTTTTTTAGTTGTACGCTCGACAGTTCCGTTCCGCGGTCGGAACGGCGAGCGGCCGTTCCGACCGCTCGCGCGACAAAGCACGCGCAACTGCAAGCCTGCTGAAGTTGCCCTCACGTGTTTGCGAACTTCATTGCACGGCAGAGGCACCATTCTGGACGCTTGCAATTCATTGTTTTACGTTTGCTTACTTTTGACGAAAATTTGGCACGTTGGGAACGAGTAAAACGTTGGCAAGAGGTTTTGCGGAATCGTTCGGCAACGCTCCAGCATTGTACACTTGTGGGATGTCTTAGCAGTAAAAGCACAAGCTGCGAGTTCCATCACAGCACGTCACATTAGAACACTACACAAGTCACAACACAAAGTGCCCTTCATTTGTACAGCACTTAAAACGATTATATTTATTTTTATAAGAATATCTGCTCCAAAATCTACTTTTTCTGCTCCGAAACTCTCTTGGCACCTCCAAAAGCCACTTTCGCTGCTCCAAAGCACTGTTTTGGTTGCTCCAAAGGCCACATTTGCTGCTCCAAAACTCTGCTTTGGTTGCTCCGAAAAGTGCTCCAAAATGGCTTAGGCCAGTCACATCACTGCACAGGCATTTGTACATTCCGTGTAAGACCTGGTCTATTATCACCAAGGTAGAAAAAATTTATGAAATTACATTAGTAAGTGATAAAAAAAGTAATTCCTACATCACCAAACGTTTACCAACAACACACAACCAAAATGGGAACAAAAAACTTATAGTGATCAATATTTTCATTCCTAACTATCTCAGTATTCGAGACTGAATTTCATTCATAACTATCTCAGTATTCGAAACTGATACCTGCTGATGAGAACCGTAAGGTCACTTTAGTAACACCTGAAGTTGAGCCAGTTGATAGGATGTAGTAAGAAATACAAACATTTAATGTATCTTAGTCCTTTGGATAAAGTAGGGAAACAGAGTGCACAACAGGACGCAAATATTTCTTCTTAAAATCAATTAAGTATCATTATTAATGATAATTAATCAGCGGTACTTACTAAATATAGCAGCAGTGTCATCGTTTCTCGTGACGCTCTTGTTAGGTTACGCTCATATAGAAGCTGGGTCCTATAATACCGTGGGCTAAAACAGAATGAAACAGACAGCGACAGAAAATGTCCACACATGTTCAGTACCGATCTAGTACTGTGTACTTTCGGACGGTCGTCTGCTTTGTGCCCTTTTCGTGTCTATTACGTCCTTAAAACCACTAGACACGCACATGTCCCCTGACACATCTGCTGTCTGCTTTATGCCGTTTTCGTGCCTGTTACTTCACGTCCCTAAAACCACTGGACAAGCACGTGTCCCCTGACACATGTGCTGTGTCCCGTGCAGTACTTCCGGACGGTGAACACGCGTGTGTCCATTGTGTACCTGGAGACGTGGGCCACGGGGGACCAAGTGGAGCACACCAACGACATCCGCCAGGCTCTGCTCAACTTTGTCGACTACTCTTCCAAGAACCTGTACAAGCAGGCCGTCGACGCCACCCACCTGCTCACGTGAGTTCCTTCGCCTGAATCCGCTCCGGTTCGTGCTGCTCCGCTCTGCTCTGCAGCGCTCCACTCTGCTCTGCTCCACCCCGATTCGGGCGCACATCTGCTTGTTTGCACCAGCATCTCTTGGTGGTTGCCGATAACCGATGAATCTTCCACGGAATCATGTGCAGCGGCAAAGTAGCAAGACTGCATTGCAGTTTACAGATGTGCATCTGGTGCTGCATGTATACTGGAAGCTACACATCAGGCAGCTCTCTGCCTGGCTAGATAGAAACATGGTGCAACATATAGGAACCTCTAACCAAATCTTGTAGTAGTAAGTCCTGACAAAGCTCCCAGATATTTAGTTTCAGTTTTTATTTTCACAATGTACTGCAAAAGGAGTCTGCTTGACTAACATGTCAAGCAGTCGTCAGCGTGTTTTTAACACAAACTGTGTTAACGCCGGGAATCCCTGGGTAAAAGCATGGCAAACCCCTCCGTAAAACCATGACGATATGTGTCACACAGCTTTCAGGGAAAAATCTATACAAAAGAACAGGTAATTGAGAAGCAATAGTGATAAACTGAGAATAAAAAATGAAATTCTGAGCATCCCCCAACACAAATCGAACCCAAAATTTAAGGATTCCTATCCCGGCACTCTACTACTGCCCGTAAAAAGTTATCTACCTTGCTACACCATGGGCGGGAAGTGTAGGGGTAACTATACGACCATGCCAATAACTATGTCACATGATTTGAGAGAGTGAAGAAATGAGTGAAACCAACATGGTATACCGACTTTTTACTTGTCGTCCCTGTTGATATTTGCCGGGATTATTTTGTCGGTACACACGACGTCGCCTCCTGATGCGTGGCTTGTAGGGATGTCGCGAACCGCCCCAGGTTCGATATCGAAAGGTTTCGATATTTGCGAAGCGAACTGAAGTTCGATTTCGAAAAATTTCGATATTTTCGTATTGACCGAGGTTCGAATTCGAAAAATTCGCAACTTTCGATCGCAGTGAAGTTTCGAATTCAAAAAGTTTGAAACTTTCACGGTTTCTAAAATTTCGGATTCGAATATTTCGAATATTTTTTTACTTCAGGTTCGATAAATTCGAAGATTTCGAAATTCTTTGGAAATAAAATTCGAAAACTTCGAACGCTTCAAATTTTTATAGACATGAAGTTCGAACAATTCGAAGATTTCGAATTTCTTTCTGCATAAAGTTCGAAAAGTTCGATGGTTTCGATTTTCTTTTAACGCTAAATTCGAAAAAAAAAAAAAAAAAAAAAAAACTTTGAAGATTTTGAATTCCTTTCTAGCCCACGTTTTCAAAGTTCGAAGTCCAGTTTTCAAATTCCTCCACAGTTTGTTTCAAATAACGTTTTCACGACTTACTGGTTTCCACAAAATCAAGTTTAGAAAAGTTAGTGTGTGATATCTAGATTCTGCGAAGTTGGTCAGGCAATTAAATGAGACGACAAGTGTCCCGGATGTGCTGGAATATTTGCCAGTGCAGAGTCACTTGTGACCATAGATCAGTAACTGGGACCGCCAGCCCGGGGGGGGGGGGGGGGGGTCTTTAACCTGCATCACGCAGTAGTGATCACATGAACAGACTGTTTTACGAGACTCATCCAGTTCGAAACGGCCAGGGGCGAGCAGGAGGTTGAGGCTCAGAAAAACCTTGAAGCGACCTGGCAAACCACCTCGCCACCCCCTGCACGCTGCTAGTAATCCGATCGAACGCCGCCCGAGTGACGGTGGCATATAGTAAGTTAAGTTTGTAATTGTCCTGGAGGTTTATTTTCTGGGACGGAGGAATCGCCTCGCAAAAGCCGACACAACTCGAGGTTGAGGAGCGTTCTACTATACAAGTGGCGTCGGAAGAGGAAAAACGGGGGGAAAGAGGGTAGCGAGGGGGGGGGGGGGGGGGTCTTCAGTTCCCTTCCCCCCCTTCCAGATATTTCGGACTGTTAAAGGAAACAATACGGGAAAGAGGGCGTGGTCGAGCTTATTTTAATCTGAAATTATTTATGCATATATATCCCTACTGTCGCTCAATTCACTCCATAAAAGTTGCGTAGATGGTCATTGTTAGAAACTCGTTGTCAGAAGGCACTACTCGTCACATGCTTAGTGGTTCGAAAGTTCAAAGCTATGTCTTTTCGACCTAAATACTTGTGCCAATAATAATAAAAAAAAAAAAAAATTAAAAAATTAAAAAAAAAATAAATGCAAGAATAAAAAGCTGAAAAAAAAAACTATCAAGAATTCGCCGGAAGTGTTGTATTCTTGCATATTCAGAGGTTCAGAACTTCGAAACAAGTTTCTTTTACCAAAATGTGTACAGGCTAAAAGAAACACGTCCCAAAAACGTGAAGCGAAAAAAAAAAAGTTTTCTTTTAATGACGTGCTGAACTTGAACACTCTTAGAAATCTTCTCAAATAAGTTAATTTATTCCTTAACGTGAAAAAACAATAAATACATTATTTTGTATTCTGCAGATGGCAATGATAAGTACTGTATGTGGTGTTAATTTAAATGCGATACCTCAAACAACTTAGACAAAAATAGATATCAAGTTTAGGGCATAATTGCATGTAGATACATGTTTGGACATTTCTTCGAAACTCACGTTGAATAACAATAATCACATCTTAAGACGGCACTTACCTAGGCTATACATAGATCATTCTTAAAAAGGAACGCGAAACAGAGACACCGCACCTAGAAACTTTCAATCATGTCACCGAGTACTACCGCTCGCAGCGCAAAAAGTACCCCCCACCCCACAAGGACTTTAACAGGCAAGAGGCCTCCGAATGGAGAAAACTCCAGACTCACTCTTTCCCTAACCTCCTTCACCTTCATCGATTCTTTCCTGACAGGTACCGGAGTGTATGCCCGGGCTGTAAATCCCCTGAACCCTCCCTCTACCACTGTACTTGGGCATGTCCTTCCCCTGTCGGGGTAGGAGTCATGCCCGTTCCTAACCCCACTACAACTTCCTGGGAGGCCGCTCTACTCAGCTCATGCCCCGAGCGGCAGCGAGCGCTGCTCGAACGGGCTAGACGGGTAGCGGTGGCCTGCGGGGCCTTGGACTTGGGGACCTGACCCGGGGGGCGTCATCACTGAACATACTGAATTAAAGTTTTTACCACCACCACCACCATCTCTACCATAAATAGCTTCGGCTACAGCGCGCTTCAAATCTGGCACAAACGATAATCGTCAAAAACCCGTCGTCCTTTCTCGCTTCTTCGGGAATTTATTTCTTTAAAACTAAGCATGCCAGAACATTGAAACAAACGGCATTGTCTTTCGTAAGGAACGCAGCACCGCGTGTAAAAGTTAGAGAAAAACATATTACGAATGTACCTCACTACTTGAATTCAAATGAAACCGTCCGCCGGTCATTCGAAGTTCGACGAACGTCGAACTTTTACCCTAAAAGTTCGAAGTTCGTCGAACTTCTGACTTTTCAGGATTCGAAAGTTCGAAGCATTTCGAATTCTCTTGATAAATAAGTTCGAAAGTTCGAAATTCATCGAATTTTTTGGTCAGTCAAGTTCGGAAGTTCGACAAGCATCGAACTTTGAGGCGGAATAAGTTCGAAAGTTCGTAAAAGATCGAATTTTTTAGCGTAATAATTTCGACGGTTCGAAAAACGTCGAACTTCTTAACTTAACAAGTTCGAAAATTCGACTTCTGTCGAATTTTACGATGTAAACAATTCGAAAAATCGAAATCTTTTGAACCTTTCGAACCGCTTGATTCGATCATCGAAACTTCGATTCGAAAAAAGTTCGCGGCATCCCTAGTGGCTTGAAGCACACGTGTCACAGACTAACGTTTTTTTCCACAATGTCCAGGGGGCGTCACTTCCCCAGCCGAGAGGTGGGCATGGCCATCCCGGATACGGTGTGCACGGCCAAGGCAGTGGGCATCAGCCAGGTGAGAACGGGGCACCCTCGATTTTCCTCAACACACTATACTACACAGGCAACTTGGCAGATTACGGTGCCCTGCCAGGAACGCCAAGCAGTAAAGTTAGCTCGGGCGACCAGCGCTCTGTCTGTAAAATGTTCTCAGTCTCTCTCTCACACTCATAGGATATGAGGGACTTCTCTTAAAGGGCAACTCCGCTTCATTTTTGGTTTTGAAAAAACAATGCAGTCCTCTTCAGTATCGCCTAGGAAGACAACACGTGAAATGTTACGACGTAGTTCTGTCTAAATGTTTCTTAAACGATCCGGCAAACTTTGCAACTTGCCAAGTTGCCGAAATCGGCTGACTTGAGCGGGCGAATTCAGGCGCAACCAGCAGCGCAGTCAAGGCTACGGCATGGGCGGAGCCAACTTTGAGCTAAACGTCATTATCATGGCCCCCTTTTGCTTGTTTTTACTTCTCCGGGCGAGCATAGCGCATGACGTCAGCAACGTTTCCTCTCGGCGCTCAGCGGTGTCCACGTGATTGGTGTAACGCACCTGCGCAGCGCGTTTCTTGGGAACCGTTTGGCCGCCCGCCGTGGTCCAGCCGATACCGCCGTCTTCCGCGTCACAACCGCCGTCGTCGTCTCGCCGATTGTGATTATTGTCTCGGAGTTTCGTCCACACTACGGACACCACGTGCGCAGACTTATGCCGCAGTTGTGCAGACGTCGTCGAATGCCGTAGACACCAAAACGTGGTGAGAGTGCGGTGCAGACGACACTCCCACCTGCCACACGCCCGCCCCAATCCCGCCCGTCGTTGGGCCGAGGATCACGTGACATCTCGTACCACGTGATGGCCATGTACTTGACGACCCGAGGCCAATGTTGCCGGGTGGAGCCGAAGTTTCGGTTTCCGCTCGTGTTTAAAATGAAATTTAAAAATATATATCTCATTTTTCGCGAAGCAAACGACGTAGTGTGTTTTACTAGGGCTTTTTAATTCCAAATCAATCATTATCCCGAAATCTTCAGAATTGAGCGGAGTTGCCCTTTAAGGAGCTCAACAAAAAGTAATCTTAGACAGCTTTGCTGGCTCGTCTACTTAACATTTTAGTATGTTGGTGTAGTAGAAGGAAGCTGAAATCAAGCACTCGACAGCATTGCCGGTCACAGAAATATTTACGCGCAATTCACTTCAGTTTGAACGCCCCTCTCGTCTTATGTGTAGTACTGCCTTCGACGTAGAATAGAGCAGTCATTCTTTTTATGAGAAATTGAAGTTACAATCAAGTCAAGAAAGACTGCACACTGACCTTCATGCCGATCACGAGTGTAGACGTCGTATGGACATTTGTTGTCAGAAGAGCTTATGAAACTGCACCATATTCATTACTAATTTGCCTATTTTTGCGTGAGATCTGTTCAAATGAGTGCCCGGATCCTGATGGCACCTCTGCTTCTCTCCTGTAGGACACCAACGTGTACGAACCTCATCTGGTGGCCAGTACCGTCACACACATGTTGGGCCATAACCTCGGCATGAGTCACGACGACGGAGGTAGGTCTTCATTGGCCTTCCCTCCTAATCTGCACAAAGAGACTTACATATTATCCAATGTATAAGACACACTTTTTTCCAAAATTTTTGTCGGTGCGTCTTATATGTATATTTCTTTTTCTTTTTGGTGAACTTTGTAGGAACTCCTGTTGACGCTGATTAGTATTTTTTTTAACTATTATGACAGCTCAGTGCAAATGATGCATTATAAATGCGAGTCAACCTCCCAAAACTAGAGTTCTATAACAAAAAAGAAAGTCAAGAAAACAAAAAGAAAAAAGAAAACATGTCGCTTTGCGAATTCTAAAGTCAGGGAGGCTGCGCAAGTCTCGATATTTGCGCAACCACACGTTATGAAGTTTCTTCGCGGCAAGGGCGTGAACATAGGTGCGTCTTATACACAGGTGCGTCTTATATGCCAATTTTTACTTAGAAACTTGCGAAAAGTGGGGGGTGCGTCTTATACACCGAAAAATATGGTATAGCCAAACCCATTTATAACAATCCCACATATAACGACCTATCGGTTATAACGACCAGGTTTTAGGAAATGTATGAATTCAAGGCCCTACCCATTGAAACTGGTCCAGAAAAAACAACCGCTTTTCAAAGCATCATACTGTTACAACAAACATCCAAAGTTAGCTTTCGAAAAAAAAAAAAAAAACTCATTCGTGCAAAAAAAAAAAAAAAAAAGATCAAGAGAGTTACATTTTGGACATGGCACTTCAAAACTACAAAAGCAAAAACGCCCTCCCGAGTCGCATAGTCCGCCGATTCACTACAGTGTTTGCATAATTCTAATGTGCACTTTTTTCGCCAAAATCGGTGCCCAAAACTACATGCGCGTTACAATCGAAACCCAAAACCGAAACTCAAGAAAAACTCAATGCTTGGTATAAGGTGGCTAGCGCCATCGCCATCGTGACCGTTTGTTTAGTTCGTCATTTTGGTATCCGTATCATGCACATTCTCGCGTCTACGTACTCGTGTCTGTCGTTTTAAAATGGGGAAAGGAAAATCCAATAAGAGGTTTTATTTAAACGAAAGGGCATTGCGCTGGCAGAAAAATATAACAACAGAGCAGCACTTCGTGGCCTCGCAATCCCAGCCACCCTATGAGCTCGCAAAGTGTTTGAAAGACAACCCTGCCAGAGGCGACGGCCGCGCACTCGTACATGCGCAAGAGGCAGCGGGGCACTTAAAACGCTTTAAGCCAAAGCAAGTGTTAATTACCTCTGTGGACAGTAAAGAACCATCATCGACTAGTGCACGGCATTTATTTTTGTGTTGGCGTGCGTTTCATAAAATCTGTTCTATGAGGTATGTGATCAATCTTTATTATTTTACCTGTGCGGTAGAGTCGGCGGCTATTTACTTTTTGATTATTTGGAAGCTAATTCTATGTGCGCGTTAGATTTGGGGGCGCGTTAAAATCGTACAAACAGTTTCTTTAAATAAAGAGCTGGTAGAGTGAAACTACCAATTCCAGTTTCATTTATAATGTGTTTTAAAGGTAAGCCCAGATATAACGAACTACTGATTAAACAACCATTTTTCACAGAACTTTCGCGTTTGTTATGAGTGGGTATGACTGTATTTATTGGGGTTCTTCATTCGCTGGGCTTAGATTTTCGTATGGCAGTTCTAGAGAATTGTCTGCTTTGGTAGGAAAGACTTCCAGCATGGCCTTTTTTATGGGCATGTGGTAAAGCATCATCATTCATTTGTATTGATTGTTACATAGACCCCTTAACTAAGGTTGGAGTAACCTTTTATAGATACGTTTTTGGAGGATGTGACTTCTTCGTCTGGTTTAAGGGCTACATAAGCCTAAATTTTAAATTTTTTTTTAAAAATTCATTTTTCAATTTTAAGGTTTTCAGTTTTATAAACTTATTTATACACCCTTACACCCAATTTGATAACCATACGCCAAATAGTTACATTGATATAAAATATTTTCAACACATTGTGAGGCAGTAACAAAGTAAAGGAGTTCAATGTTCAAATGCATTTTTCTCAGTTCCACTTTTTGCTGCAAAATTCATACGAAGGAATTTTTATGTTTGAAGATAAAAGTATTTGGATACCACAATCAAGAGGTTTCTGAACTGAAATTTACTGGGGAATCGGGCTATCTACTTTATTTTGTTTTAAGTTGAAGTCCTCAATGATAAAAAAGTAAGCTTTCAAAAATTGACATAGGACAGATATGCATCTCATATTTTGAGGTAATAACTCTTCCTGAAATATATTTATTTAAGTTATTAAAACTAGATAGCCCGAGGTCCCATATCCCCCACTTTATATTCAAGCAGTCAAAGTGATGCTTATTAGCTTCATTTGAATATCATAGATTACTTAATGAAAAGTGACACATCATCTTATGCAGGTATGTAAATTTGTCCTAGGGAGCTGTAAGTTTGCACAGTACACCTACATCTGAAGCTAAATCTCCCCTGAAAATTTCATTTTGAACACTTGAGTAGTTCAAAAGTTTGACCTCTGTTTCAAACAGTCTTCACTTTATCCGAAGTGTGAAATCTGACCCAGATTTCCAAAAAGGAGGGATGTTTTTTTCACACTATTAGTTATTGTGTGGGGAAGCTGATTGGCAGTGTGCAAAAATGGCTTTCACTTCAGTGCATCCACGCCGTGTGGCAAAGTAGGTTAACCAAACCTTTTCTGTGGAACCTAAGTTGTGCTCTTTGTTTTGTGTGTTTAAGAGTGATAAAAGTGCCAAGTTATTTATACATCTAAGAACATAAACATTTCCAAAATGGTCTGCATGTTCTGTGAAGATGTTAATCAGTCTTGAGCATTCTTGAGGCTCTTAGTTACTCTCTGCCTACTTAAAGGAGCTTTCTACTGTTTAGATAATTTGATATTAATTAATATTTAATCTATAAAGTTTTACACAAAAAAAAAGTCAAAACACACAAAACGCAAGTGCCAAAAATCCACTTGCGGTTGCCATACTGGTGCCACATATTGGAACGATCCTTAATTTAAGTTAACGTGAACCGACCTCCTCATTTTATGCAATAACTACGGGGTCAAGGGGGTTGGACAGGAATTCTTAACCTAGTTTGGTTTCCTTGCACCCACAGGGAACTGCCAGTGCCAGGATTCCTGGGGATGCATCATGGCTCCAGGAATTTTGTGAGTCGGCAACACCGCGCCCGGGACATCTCTGCGGCGACGACCCCTCATTGTCCCATCGTCTCCCACGTCTTTTGCAGAGGCACCAACCACATTCAGCCATATCATTTCTCGTCGTGCAGCCTCGAGGAGTACATCAACGCGCTACGGATTGGGCACGGCATCTGCCTCTTCAATAAGCCAGGACAGGTGAGCCTCACCGACGCGCCCCCTCAGCAGAGTGGTCGTGGTGCTCGGCCATTGGCAGCGGACATTTTGAAGTGGCTGCAGTGGTATCGTTATGTCCTCTGTGCACCCCAGCTGGAAGACTTCCGAACCTGTGGTAACGGAATCAAAGAGCAAGACGAAGACTGCGACTGCGGCACCATGGAGGTGAGTCCGCAGCCGCCGAAGGTTGCCACGGTCACTGACGGGATGAAAACGGCTGGAGTTCTTTTGGTCGTACCTCCGCTAGTGTGAGCTTCTTACTCTCGATGACACTTGAGCATCCCGTGAGCTTCGAGCGTGCACGTGCAGCCAATGCACTGCGGAAGGCAACGAGCGCGTAAGGCGGTGCATCCCAAACAGACGCCCTCCCGTTCTCGTCGCACCAAACAATATAGTGAAGAACTGTTTTGTTAGTTTGTCTGTTAATGTTTTTTTTGTAGTGTGGCAAAAATGTTCATGGTCTGCAAGAGAAACTGTTCGGGGGTTTTCTGTTCTGCAGCCTAGAAACGGGGGTGGAAATGCTGCACCGATTATGCCATTGTGCGCCAATCCACTTTCGCTGTGCTGTCCTGCTCTCAAGCACAAGTGTTGCACCAAAACTGGCGTTTCTAGCCTAGTAATTTCTGAGGAAGTTTCTGCATGGACTGCAAAAGCCCCTGAACATTATGTGCTGTTGAAAAAAAATGAAAGCCGTTTACAACTCCCTGTAACGCCGAATTGGAGTGCAGCTCTTGAGGAGGAACGAGTAGGGAAGGGTACTGAGGGGGGAGGAGGAGGGAAGGGTATTGAGGGGAGGGTAGACCCCTCCTCCTTCTCATCCTCCTCCCCTCATTCTTGAACATGCTCCAGGGGGGTCACTGACCTCGGGGGAAGGGGGTCACGTGGCCTGGGGGGAGGGAAGTGTCACGTGACTTCGGGGGGGGGGGGGGGGGGGGGTCACGTGACCTCGGGGGTTCACATGACCTTGGGGGTGACCTTTGGGGGGTCACGTGACCTCGCGGTTACGCCGACGGCGACGCCGCTCAAGCCGGAAACGGGCCCCTAAGAGCTGCGCTCTAAAACGTAACGGATTCTTGGGTAGACCTTGGACTCCATCTAAAGCTTGGCTAGAACTAAGGGTTTTAAAATGCAAGTTTCTTATCATAGCATGACACTAAGCTTCAATCCAGAATTACAAATTTTGCCTCGATCTGCCTGCAGGAATGTGCCAAGGGCGATCCCTGCTGCGACCCCATCACATGCAAGCTGCGCGTCGAAGCGAACTGTTCTGCGGGGCCTTGTTGTGAGAACTGCAAGGTCAGTACCCGACACCCATCCACATCATCATTCTTCGTTGGCTCTGTTGCCCCTCTGTGAAGCCCTACACCAGAGTACTTCTAGTGTTTAGACATTTGGAGAAATGCAGTGCACACCTCTTTCCTGGCATCTTTAAGAGCACTATGTCATGCCTCGGGCATGCGCTACAAATATTTGTTGGACAACTAGGATTGCAATGAACGTACGGTATTAGTTTTAGCACCTGTACTAATTACCATAATACCTCGAAAAATAACCCACCCTATTTTCAATGTGATTTGCTACTTATTTTTTTTTTTTTCAAAAACACAGAAAGATAACCCACTTCTAGTAATTGCTGTGCCCTGGTCGACTGTGACTTCGGCCGAAATGAAGTTAGTTAGCTACGGCGGAAGATAAGCAGTTATTGCTGACTGAGAAGGTCAGTTTCCTATGATCCATTGCCCCTCAATGTGAAAACAAGTTTGGGAGATTACAGAATACAAAAAAAGCATTTTTATTTTATTTCTATTTTTTTTATCGCACACCGAGAGTTAGCCCACCCCTCACTTTCACCCGATTTTCTCTTGCTTTTAGGTGGGCTATCTCTTGGAATATTACGGTAAAGCTAGGTCGACAGGGTGTCCCGATTTATGTATATTGTAAAGTAATCTTTAAAAAATTTATATGAATAATTTATTGAACTGCAATTCATTTCCTCGGAAATGTACTCCTGTGGGCATTTTAATGTGATAAAATTCCCATGTATATCTGCTTGTTTTCTTAAACTGCCGCTACAATGGACAGCAAGTTGTTTTCTCTTTAATGCAATATTAAAGCAATATTGGGCGATAATAATAATTGTAATAATAATATTCACAGTCATGTCTCAATAATATGGACTTTGTTAATATGAATATCCCACAAAATAGACATATTACAAACAAACTGTGTAAATAGATTCCTTTTAATGCGAAGGAATTAACTACTCCATGGAGCGGAGCCTGCGGCGTCTGTTACCGCGAAAGAACACAAAAGAAATGCCCATTCTCCCATTGGCTGAGCAAAACGGCTCCTAGATAGCCATTGGCGCCCACTTCACAAGAGCTCACGCTCGGCCGCTACTTTCGTCTCAGACGTTGCCGGAGGGGGGGGTCACGAGAGCGCAGGCTCGGCAACCTCGACAGTAGCGAATAGTGGCCGTTCACACCAGTACACTGCAGACGAACTAAGGGAGTAGAAGAACGACATTCATGCTTTCGCATTCACAACACACAAGTGCTTAGGTGTCCTTTTTGTCTCGTTATTGTGGAAAACTCAAATCATGGACGATTTTTGGAGGAAAGGAGGTGTCCTATATTAACGAGACATCCCTGTATAACTGACGCAATAAAACAAATTTGTCTGTTGTTTTTGCAGCTGCGCTCTGCGGGACAGCTGTGCCGCACTCCTGAGTCCGAGTGCGACATTCCCGAATTCTGCGATGGCCGTTCGGGCGAGGTGAGAGCTCAAGAGTCACATTTGACAGTCGTCGTCATTTTGAATAGTTTGAAGATTCAACTCTACTGAGTGGAAAGGAGCCCTGCAATGATTGTCAAGACAAGTTGACAATCCTCACCTTGTCAACTTGTCTTGAGAGCGTGGAATTCAATTTTGTTTGCATTTCGCTTTCTAGCATTTTCCACACAGCACACAGTAGGCTCGTGACAATTCAAAAGTTGGATATTTCATACTTCAGGTTAATTCAAACAAATTTCAAAACTTTGGTTGTCCCACTATGTTTTAATGTATTCATGAGCCGCTTAATTTGAACGGCATTTTCGTGCAATTCAAAAGTTTTTGTTCCCGCGTTCCTGTTGAGTGCACTTCTTTCCGAGCACTGGTGCACTGCAGAGAGGCAACACCCGCAAAGCTTGCTTCCGGGGATGTTGCTTCTCCGCAGTGCACCGGTGCTCGGTGAGAAGCGCGCTCACCAAGGCTCAAGTGGGCACACATGAGCTATAAAAAATGGGCATGTGTGCCCACTTCATAGCAAATGTGGACTATTAAGTAGGGGCGCTCATGTGGCCCCTACTTAATAGTCCACATTAGACAATTTCTTGGCCTGATGAACAAACTTCATTTTGTTTTGAATTGTCATGGACTGTCTAAAACAATCCATGATAAACAACTCTTTTGAGGGATAAATAGTTCGTCATACATTTCACATGTTTCAGGTGCGGCATACCTGCTTATGATCAGTAGGCCTATGTAGAGGAAATCATCAAATATTTGCTTTGTATTTGTAGCCATTCATATGGCAAATCATAATTTTGTCTGGCATCTTATTTAGACGAATTTCTGATGATTCAAACTTCTGATAATTCAAACAAAATGTGTAGCTTCCTGGAGTCTGAATTAATGAGAGTCTACTGTAGCTTATACTAATTCTCTGTAAAGAATTACTCAGTGGCATATTATAACCAGACCTTGAGCCCTCATGCTATCTTCTGAACGGTGCAATTTTGACAAAAAAGTTTCTTTTTTTAATTGTTTGATGAAAATGTATTTTTAAAAGTGTTTTTAAATGTAGGTTGTGCTGGTGGAATATGGTTTGCATAGCTTGCAGTTCTTTATTCTTTTACACGACCCATCGGTTAGAAAGCACACAAAGTTTATAAAGTCATTCCAGAAAGACTATTCACTTCTACTATATCAGTATCATCATTACATCAGTAGCTCAAAAGCCTGCAAACATTAGAAGACACACTTCAACATTGACTTCTTATAGTGCTCATAATTTTGCTTCATCAGTCTCTACTAAAGATCAGTTCTACTGTACCACGCCTCTACTGATTTTGTGCGCATATGCATTTTGTCCGAAGTTTCTAGTAACATATGGGCAACAAGTACAAGCTCCATTGACTCCTTGTAACTCCCCATGAATACAAACAAATGGACGTAGTAGTGCCTCGAGAGGTAATGGCTCTAACATACCTCGCAGTGCCCGGGAAACATCTACAAGAAGAACGGCCAGGAATGCAAGAAAGGTAGTGGCTTCTGCTACCGGGGAAAGTGCCAAACTTCGGACGAACAGTGCGAGTACATCTGGGGCTTCGGTGAGTACTCCCCAGGATGGCTTCGGGTGCACGGGCTTACTGAGTGCAACATTAAGGAGCGTGAACACTTGTCTCGGTCTCGCTGCCTTGATCGAAAGCGAGTTGCGCACGTGTGTAACCGAACCTGCTGAGCTCGGGGTAGCTTGGCATCTGCCAACCATGAAGGAGGAAAATGTCTTCCTCAAGAAAAGCTGCATGCCAGGCCATACTGAGTAATGCTAGATTTTTATGGCCCTGTGGGAGGAATGACATATTGTAATTGGCTTCATTTCCGCGAGGACCTTATTTTCATGAAATTTTAAATTTGCGACTTTAAAAATATAGTAAAGAATCAATAACAGGAATGTATCACCTCGTGGTAGCAAATACATAGCATGCGACTGACAGGACATGACCACAGACTGATTTTTCAGTATATTGAAGGGTGAAAAGAAAGGACTGTAGCTATAATTGAATAGGCTATAGCAAGCATGACTTCAGGAAACCTTCTACTATATAGGGAGACTTCACTGTTAGCCCTGAGAAGATGAAGTGGTGCCACTTGGTGGCTTCTTATCAAACATAGTACCAAGGATCACGTGACCGCTTCTGCACTTCGTTGGTAGCATGTAGCTTGAGGTGTATCGTTCATAATTCATTTCTGATTCAATGATTTGAACTAAGTTTAGAGTTGCTTTTGACCCAATTCTTTCGTTGTATTTCTCATTAAAATTAAAAAACCAAGCAGCGTGACAACAGTGGCATCACGGACTCACGGCCTACAAAACAGAACCCAGTGACCCAGTTTCATGTTATCGTACTGACCACAACCAAATCGGTCGTCATCGTGGCTTCGGAGGCTTGTCAAGTGACCAAACATCGAGGTTCTGGGACAACATAATTTCCAGGGCAAGCTTTTACAGTGGAGCTGTTAAGGGCTAGTTTCCCCGGCATCGTGTCCGCGGGCAAACAAATGTCGACACAAAACTCCGGACAGCTACCGCCATCTATGAGGTATGGCGGCAACCAGTTGTCTGGTTGCTGCCGTCGCTCGTAGATGGCGGCGACCTTTCCAGCCTTTCCACTTTGGTTTTCACCAGAATGGAAAAGCTGAATTTCTCTAAGCGTCGTCCTAGAAGTTGTCCTTGAGGTTGCCCTAGACGTCGTCCTTGAGGTCATCCTAGACGTCGTCTTTGAGGTCGTCCTCAAGATTGTCCTCGAGGTAGTCCTAGACGTCGTCTTTGAGGTCGTCCTCAAGATTGTCCTCGAGTTTGTCCTAGAAGTCATGCTTGAGGTCGTCCTAGACGTCGTCCTCGAGGTCGTCCTAGACGCTGTTCTCAAGGTCGTCCTAGACGCTGTCCTAGAAGTTGTCCTAGAAGTCGTCCTTGAAATCATCCTAGACGTTGTCCTTGAGGTTGTCCTAGACGTCGTCCCTGAAATCGTCCTAGGCGTCGTCCTTGAGGTCGCCCTTGACGTCGTCCAAGAAGTCGTAATTGAGGTCGTCCTAAACATTGTCCTGTAGGCATCGTCCTAGACATCGTAAAGATAATAGCTTCGCTGGTCCTCTATCTTCTCGTGAAGTGGAAGGGCTCTAATCTTTGGGTTGTTTTTTTTTGTCTGTTGAAGCAGAGCCAATAGAAACCAATCGCGAGGATAGCCGAGCAGGCGTTGAACTTAGCATTCCAATCGCCGGTTTTATACGCAGTTTGCTCACGTGGTTTTGGAGACACATGAAAAATAAAGTGTATGTACCAAATGGTGCAAGGGTAATCCATAGCATGTATATTTGAGCTTTATGTCAAAAAAAGCACCAAACAGAATTGACAAGTATGTCCCAGCGACAAGAGCGTCCGTCACTACCGCAAAACACTCCGAAAATGACAAGGGGGTGATGAAGAGATAAAAGCCACCTTCTGACCGGAAGATCTAGGTCAAGGTTCAAACTTTTCATACAAAATGGGTCCAGATAATAAAGAAAGGGCTGCACGAACATAATAATTTAACGAGGCCGCTGGTCATAGGCAGTGAGTGACAAGCACCTTGCTATGCCTTTCAACCCATCTTGCTAGGCCTTCCCACCGACTCGAGCAATCGCTGAAGTAGTTGGGATTGTTGTCATTGCTTTTGGAATTTTGAATCGAGCGGCGTTCACCAAGAATTGTAGTTTTGAGTACATATTTCCTGTCATCTGCTGCTTGAAGTCGGGAAGCACGAGAAGAGCATAAAAAACTTTGCTTGTTGGTCTCCATGGTGAAGTATCAAGCAGTATTGGCGGCCATGAAGCTATCGTAGGATTCCATCATAACTTACACACAACTTCCAAATGTTTCGCTTGGCGTATTCAGATTTGTTATTAGGTTTCATCCTACGCAGGTCTTGTGTGGTAGTAAAAACAAAATACACTTAGCAAACAGTTTCTGCTGCTACTTTCTAAGGCACACAACCAAACCAAAGCAAAGCAGAGAAAAATAGCTCGAGGTACACCTAAGCATTTCTTACGAGTTGTGAATGCGAAAGCATGCAAGCCGCTCGTCTGCTCCCTTTGTCGTCTGCTGCGTACTAATGCGCGCGCGCTTCGGGATCTTGGAGGCCATGGCGCAGCGGCCAATGGGAGCCCCGTCGACGCATGCCAGCCAATGGAACCGAAGGCGAATCACTCCTATTGGGATCACAGCGCAAACTAGGAGCCGTTTTCATGCTTCAAACTGATGCCGTCAGCTCGCTCCATGAGACATTTAATGCTTTCGCATCAAAATTGTGAGCCATTCCACTTTGTGAAGGTGGTTAGCCAGCGAAGCTGTAGAGCACCTCCACAAATGATTCACTAAAAGACACACAAAAGCACTTCACCGAATGTTTATGTACAGTATATACATCATTTTGAAATGGTAGTGATGATTGCTTTGTGATCACTATGATATACACTGATGGGTTCCATTACAACTGTTCTTGAGATTCCTTGCTAAAAGTTAAATCTAAACATATAATTCTTTACAAAAAGCTGCTGCTTTTAAATATGTAAAGCAGTGACGTCGTCCGACTCGAGCCGGAGAAGGCCCATCGTCTCGGATGTACCTTCTTTATCACACGTTCCAATGTCTTCCCTTATCAAAACGCATATCGAGGTGATGGGGCGTATAGTATGCCTTTCCATACAAGGGAGCGCTTTTACATGCAGTTTTGTTTCTGCACACGGATACCGAAAATGCATGGAACCCTAGGCATATACAGCTTAACTGGAATACCTGGCCTCATCACGTGAAACTGATCACTGGGTCACCATCGAGCGATGGTAGCGCTCCAATTGGTCCTGTTTGGGGCTAGTAGGATTCTGGCAGAGTAAGTTCTGAAAAGATGGTACAGTAAACTTTCGTTAATTCGACCTCGACGGGACCTTGAAATTTGGTAGAATTATCCAAACAATTGAAATAAAAAAAGGACAGAAAAATGGTTAAAATTAAAATTCCTTTTATTGTCCAAAGTACTCACGGATGATCTGCTGCCATCTGCGCTTTAAAACGCGTGTCCAAAAGCAGGCTTCGGAGAGCAGCGTAACTAGACGTCACGTCCCCCAAAAATCTTGCACAAAAAAAAAAGTTTTACCAGCTGATTTTGGCGCGGAGCCCAAAGTCGGCTTGGCGACAAAACAAAATAACAAAAAAAAAAAAAAAGAAAGGAAGAGAGAATTTGGGTTTTCCGATGCGCAGATGGACCCCATACGATGCTACAGAGAAGCGCTTTGAGAGCGCTCGCTAAGAAAGCTTCGAACCGACTTTGGCAAACGCCACCATCAACGACACAAAAAAAAAAAGGAAAAGAGAAAGAGAAATTACGCTTTCCGGTGTGCAAGATGGAGCGCACACGATGCTACAGAAAAAACGCGCACTGGCTCATGCGCTGGCTCGTGCGCGCTCGACCACGTGCTATGTTCTTCCCGCTACTCCACGCCAGATTGGTTGCGCTGGCTCGTGTCATTCGCTACGGTCCATCTCAACGGCGTAGAGGAGCAGGCACATATTTGCGCACGTTCGGCTTTGCAGCAAAGGGCCCGTGTTTCGCTGTACATTTGTGCTTTTTTTTTGCCGTGGTGCCGTGCAATGTGAGCCCGCGCGTATTCGCTCGGGACGAATTATCCGATGCGGAGTCTTCCCGAGTTTGAACTATCAAATTTTTCCTCCCATAGAAATGTAGGGGTGCTCGCCGGGACTTTTGAACACGACTGAATTGAACGAAAAGTCGAATTAACCGAGTCGAACTAACGAAAATTTACTGTATTTTGAAATCTTCACTAAAGTAAATTTCTTATAGGCAATGTTTTACTGCACTGTGGAGGAGAAAAATTAAAGAAGAAAGGGATACCAGAAAAACCTCAGTGGCTCTAAATCAGGGTTGTGAGTCTGTGAGGAGCAATGAAATGGTGGATTGATTAACATAACTCTGAAATGAGAAGTACCAAAAACAGAAAACACAAGGTGCCCCGCCCCGCATGATCCTCTCGTTGTCCACCTTTTTCATCCTAAGGGACGAGGACTTTGACACTGCGGATGGTGTGCCCGTTTTGCATCAAAGTCACGAGGCTATGCGTACAGTAAAATGTTCAATTGGCTAGCGTAACTCTGAAGCGCCAAGAACAGAAGACATCGCAGAGCACTTTGTGAACCACCACCGACGTTGGGTACGGTGGCGCTCTCTACCTCCTCGGCAGGCGCCAAGCGGTCGGACGAGAAGTGCTTTGGGGAGTTCAACGTCCAGGGCAGCGTGAGCGGCAACTGCGGCCAAGATGGCCGAGGCGGCTACCTCAAGTGCAGCCGGGAGCACATGCTATGCGGCACCCTCCAGTGCCAGAGGGGCACTCGCACCCCCCTGGTGGTGGGCATGGAGAAGCTCTACACCCGTACCATCATCTCCATCGAGGGCTCCGAGTTTGAGTGCAAGTGCGTGCTTCCATGACCTCTCACATCTCCAGAAGCGTGTTTGTAACCATAAATAGGATCCGAAAACATTGTACGGAGCGCTTTGGAGCTGTAGCTGGACCGGAGGAGCGTTCATCTATCTTTGTTGACTGTCAAGGAACCTTGCCCGGTCTTAGCGTTGAAGCAGCAAACTACCATAAGTTCCCGAATCATCGTCCACCCCTCTGTCGCCTGAAATTCATTAAAAAAAAAAAGTGGGGTGGGCCATGTCTCGGTGGGTGAGAACAAAAAGTGAAAAAAAAACACCAATTTTTTTGTGCATCCCCGAAATTCGAATCAGTTTTATTGTTTTATTAAAAAACCACTCATGAAAGAATGCTTTACTACTGTGAAGTCCTTTGCTTGCATGTGTGCTATGACCACCACCTATTGGCGTACAGTGCAAATGTTTGTTCCGTAAAAGCATGTTTCTAACACTGCTATGTTCTCCTTGTTAATAAAAAAATAAGAAAGGCTACAAGTAAATAGAAAAATTAACCAGGCGCTACGAGCGAGCGAGCTGGCGAACGAAAGAAGCGATGAAGAGCAATGCTGAGGGAGCGGGAAAGCTGGCGATCGCATTGGCAAATTCTTTGTCGCCGGGCCCCTTGTCAATCGCAAGCTCTCGCGCAACTTTCTTGTTTGGAGCACTCATGGGTGTGTCCGTGCACAGCGTGCTATCAACATGGGTGGCGTTGCTGCGTGGCGTGGACGGCACCACGAACATGAAGCTCGAAATGGGACGCTCTCCAAACGTTTGTGTGCGACGTTCCAGGAAATCTTTATTTACCTGTTGGCTTCGTCTTAAACATTGCACAACCGCGATCGCGACGTGCCGGGAGAAGAAGCCGGTTCGGGGCAATCTTACTTTGGTGGAGATACACTCCATGGTTACATTCCAGGGTATGGAGTGTTCGCTTACCTTGTGATCCCTAAATGGGTTACTGCTTGTGTTCGTTTTCCTACTTTGTCTCTGTTATTTTTGTCCGGACAAATTTTTGTAAGCAAAACAAAGTTTTATTCTGTTATTTATGTTGTTTTCTTTCTGCACAGTTGCACTCCGACTTCGGTTTCGCTCACAGAGGAAATGCACAAACAGAGAGAACTGCTTTTTCCTCCTTCCTTTTTCTTTGCCACGGATGTCCTCCAACTGTAAGGTCCATGGCCGCGTCATTCGGGTTCGGGTGGGATGAATGTTCACGGATCGCGGAGTCCGAGTTGGGGTATTTGTAGAGGTGGGCGAGGATTCATTTTTTGGGGGGAAATCAATATTAGGCCCAAAAAGTGGCATGGGCTATGATTGGGGGATGGGCGACGACTCGGGCACAACCAATGACTCGGGATATTGCGGTAGTGCAGAAGCCTACAGACCTTGTAGACAGTAATGCACATAGCCGGGAGTGCTTGGCCCATACTAGTGCATCAACGGGTGGCATGGACCTTCTAATATAACACTTAAATTGGAAGAACCTTCTATTTAGGCGCAGGATCGGCAGAGGAAAGAACTTGAGAACCCCTGAAGGTGCACCGGGAAACCCAGTTTGAGAACCCATGCTGTAGACAAAACATACGGGCATTAAGTTGCGGCGTCGTTAGCTTGCGAAAGAGCAAAGAGTCAGAATCTTGACATGAAAGGAGGGGCTTGAAGCAAGATGGGTGTACAGTATAGACCACTTACAATGTAACCGCTTATAGTGCAGGACCAGGTATAACGCGGTTTTTTTAAACCACCGGTTCGCCTCCCATAGAACTCCATGTATTTACATACCGCTTAAAATGCAGGCGCGCGAAGGGAAATACCGGTTATAGTGAGGTTTTTGGCACAGCCCGCCGACTGCGCCGACGACCGGAGCGGCGAGCTCGCTTCCCTGGGCGACACTAGATAACGGCGCTAACGGCGCGAGTGGCGCGAGCCGCAAACTGCACTCGCGGGGCGAGGAGGTTGCTCGAAAACGCGGGGAGAAGCAAAGAGAGAGGCTTCAGTTGCCATAGCGACGGAGGGACGCACGCATGAGTCGTTCACGTGCGTGCGTCCCTCCGCTGCGTTGGAAACAAAGAAACAAACAACCGCAACGACAGACCAATCGCAAATCGAGGAGGAGTGTTCGCGCGCGTTGCATGCCGGTCGCGGGCCGGCTGCTTCTTTTCCGCAAACACGGCGTCGGTTGTGATCGTCGTCGTAGACGGCGTTCATCTCATCGTTCTGCGTAAAAGCGCTATCCTTGACTGTGAATTTTCGTTGTGTGTCGCTATGATAACCCAGCACGTACTAGAAGGGAAGATCCACCTACTCGTGCGGCGATGTCGTGGCGGTGCTCTCAAGACGGCAGAAACGCCCATGTTGTCGTGTTTGTTTACTTCGACTACAGTGGTGATTTCTAAGCATTTGTGTCCTCAGACATCGCCCGGATTTCTTACTTGGCGCATTTCATGCGTGTGCTAAAGTTCAAGGTATTACTGGCGCGTACCGAATGAAGGATGCGAATTTTCACGTGTTTTCATCTCCGGAGAAAAGTGATTAGGGTTAGCAATCCTGAACGCTCGCAACGTCCGTCTGCAACCCGCGACGTCGTTAAAAGGCTGCGCCAGGCAAAAGCCGCTCATTTCGTTCAAAATGTGTAACACACTTGAGACAGAACTGTTCTAGTCTGGTGAAATAAAGACTTTCCTCAAACTAAGCTTTATTTTTCATCTAACATAAAATAAATGCTTTTACAAAGGTAAGTTGTCTCATGGCATGTATTTTGGCCTGAAAAATAGATGTTTTGGTTATAGTGCGGTACCGCTTATAGTGCGGATTTTCGCGACTCCTGAGACATACGTTATATGCGGTCTACACTGTATATGCATCAAACTCACAAAGATTAAAGTAAATTGATTTGCAACTATTCACTAAAGATGCTAGTCTACTGAAAATATCAAGCAGATCCCGTAATGCAGGCAGGCTATATTTAATTGCTCTTTTGATACAACTGCACAGCACTCCTTCTGGAGATGAAACGTGGAAGTGTTCTTATCTTGAAATCACTTTCTTCAATAATATTCCCATCTTGCCCCGACCTTTCGGTTGACTCCATATCTCCAGCATTCGATGTGTGAAGCATCCTCACCGTTTGATGTCTGGATTTCCCTAGTGGCACACTTAGTCCTGGGAATGTCTTTAGGATGTCCTAACGCTTTAAACATGTGCTGTGGATGTTCCTAGAACATTTGTGTTGCTTGGGTTCACTTATACCTTGTGGCAATTTCACATGGGACGCTTATGACAGATTAGTGGTCTATTGTTGATGCTGGCAGCGACATACTCTTGCAGGGGAAGTTTTATGCTCTTACGCCACGTCTGTGCACTTGCAGAGTGTCCACGGGTTCCATCAGCTCCGACATCCCAGACATCGGCATCGTCTGGGACGGGACCAAGTGCGGACCAGCCAAGGTAGGTTTGACCTCCTTGTAATGAAGCATGTCACAAACGTTTTACTCTGTCGGCCGAGGCAAGAAGTAGCATACTGCTCACGAATGCCAGCTGTAGGACCAGACAAAGCGATCAAAATGAAAGCAGGCAGTTCGGCATAAAGTTTTGTCATTTGACTATTTCAGGTCACACATTATGGCGCTTCTGAGCTGCAGTTAGTTTTGCGCAGTAGAGAACAACAAAACAAGTTTCTTATTATTTTTATATGCTTTCTTTCCAAAGATAAGTATAGCAGTTAGCTCGTTCACACCATCAGTTTTTTTGAAGGGCTACGAAAGGCTAGTGGGAACATTACATGCGAAGCAGATACAATGGCAGTCGTCATGAGCTATGGGAAACTTGAGCAGATAGTGAGGGCTTGATAAGTGCTTGAACCTTTGGGCAAAAATAGTATCGGTGCTTGGCGTTTCATCACAATGTCTCATGCAGTCAGCATTCCAGTGCTGATATCATTTTAGATGCAATAGCATTTCTTTGGGCCCCCCCCTCACAAAAATTTTTATATGTAACACAAAATGGATTTGGCCTCCTCTCCTCCCATCCTTACCCTCCTCTCCTTATTGCCTCCACCGCTCCTTATCATGCGCATGCTTGGATCACGAGATGAGGCGCTCATCGGACGTACTGCAGCCTTCACAATGCCTCACACAAAGAACGAGCGGACTGGAGAGCTGATAGCTGAAGAGAAGTGGCAAAGATTAAAACGAAAAACTGGGCTAGCAAGACTTCAACCCGGCCCTCCCATGTGGGACCCCCGTGCACCGCTCACACGGCCACAAACGCAGCCTTACTCCCACCGAACAGGTGCCAGCCGAACAGAAGCAGTGACGTGCTGAGTAAAGCCCGTGCTCGATGTACCAAAGAGATGCCAAAGGAGAGAGAGAGAGTGTGATGTTTGGGTAGGAATGGAGAAGCAAGCCTTCGTAGAAGACAAGCAGGGCTATCGCATTTCGACATAGTCTGCGGCAAAGCACCACAGAAACCTAGCCCTATTTTTTCGTCCTAAATAAACTTGGCCATTGTCATTCTCTATAGGCTCCTCCAAATGACTGCGATGACAGATATTCTATGTGCCCTGCAACGTACCATGTCAGAAATTGTATAGCACAGTGTAAACATTTCAGCTGCAGTCACGGCGCTTGTACATTACGCAAAAGACGCTATGTTCGCTGCAGACGGGATGACGGAATTGTTTTTGGTCACGCCTCAAGCGTATTCGAAGCATGTTTGCTTCGACCATGTCTACAAACTGTCTTTTGTATGACATATTAGCGGTGTGACTCTGGCTTTGCAGAGAAGCACGCAGCTTTTCTTGCAGCAAATGGCTGTCACGGCCTTTGGACGAGGTGCCTTCTCTGAGCCTTCTTTCCCGTCTGCTCTTGCACCTCAGATTTGTGTCAACAAGTCCTGCCTTCCCGTGGAACACTTCCGTGAGCTGGGCGTCTGTCCCAGCAACAACCTGCAACTCGCCTGCTCGGGCCACGGAGTGAGTGTTCCCGTCACTCTCTTTTAACGCAGGATGTGCTCATGGGCCGGATTTCATGCGAAAAATGTCGAGTGTAATGAAAAGCCGTTGAATGAGGGTTGAGGCAACGTAAAGCATACGTAGCCCACAGCAGTTGATCGATGCATGAGCATTCAAAGCATATAAATGGCATACTTAGTTGTAATTAACCGTAATCTGCGAGATTTGCCATATTTACTCGAGTAATAGATGCGCTACTTACGAACCATGCCCTTACGTCTGCTTTTCCGCAGCACGCACGTTCGGCCAGTTGTAGTGTTCTGCACACAAAACGTGGCAAATGACAAAGTCGAAAACCTGCATCTCCTAAGAAATGTGATATGCACGGATACTATTTCTGTGCGAGGGCATTATCTCCGTCCTTTAAACCGCTGGCATTCTTTTTGTCAATTGTGGCGATTGGCTATTTGTGTGTGCTCCAAGAAAAAGTGGACCCGCAGATTCTGTTCATGAACGTGTGTCCATTACTCGAGTATGTACAGTACCGAGCGGAGCGCTGCTTGATGAGCTTGACCGTTTGGTGCTTGTCCACGCACGCAGGTGTGCTCCAACGTGAACACGTGCTACTGCGACGAGGGCTACCTGGGGCCCGACTGCAGCCAGAGGGCCAACGCCACGGAGCCGCCCACCCTGGCTCCGGCCGCCACGCCGGCCGCCCCCCACGCTCCTCCGACCACGGCAGACACGGGCGCGCAGACCAACAAGAGCTTAAAAACAACCTCCTATGGTGCGCTACTACAGGGCCCCTCAAACTTTTCAATCTCGAGGAACCCGTATGTGCGTTAGGTGGCTGCCTGGGAACTCCTCCCAGTCTTGGCGTTAATGCACTGAAGTAGTATAGCCTATGCGGAGCACAAGTTCGTCTGCTTTCTTTTGCAGGGGCTGTGGTGACGTCGGAATGCTGAGCTCTGATTGACTCTGATTGAAGGATAGTGGGTAGAGTTCCAACATCAGCACAACCCCTACAAAGAAAGCAGACAGACTTGCACTCCGTATAGGCCTTGTAAATAAAAGCTCGAGGAACACCTAAGCACTTCTTACGAGTTGTGAATGCGAAAGCATGCAAGCTGCTCGTCCGCTTCCTTTTTCGTCTGCTGCTTACTTTTCGTTGCCGGTCAGCGCGCGCGCTCCCCTGGTGACCTTGGATGCTCCATGTGAACAGCGCACTGATGGACACACAGCGCCATGGGGTGAGCGGTCGTGGAAACCGACAAGTGCAAAGGGGTGCCGTTTTCGCGCCTCAAACTGATGACGTCAGCTCGCTCCATGGGACAGTTAATGCACAGACTAAGCAGTGTTCTTCAAGTAATTATGTGTATCAGCGACTTGGATCTGCTAAAATGGCGCTGTTTCTTTCGCTTTTTTTTTACTATACAACATGTGATCTAATACAAATAAAATTTACATAGCTTATCTGCCTTTACAATTATGTACTTGATTTTGATGTAGCTTAAGTAGTTTTGTTAATATATTGAAAGCTCTTTTGCAGAGATTATGGGCAGGATAAAAAATAATGCAAGTACTTAATTAAAATATATTTACATATCCCTGTAAACTGGAGACTCTGTAGAATTCAGTAAGGTATAAATGAAAGCCCTAGGGTGATTCACAAGTTTCTAATGATACTTCTAAAGTTTGCTGTTAAAGTTTTTTTTTTTGCAGGAAGTAAAAAAGCATTTAAAAAAGACTGATGCCACATTTAACATACAGGGTGTCACAAAAGAAACTTTACAGGGTTTTTTTCACCGCAAAAATAAACTAGGCATCGCCGAACGCTCATTCTCTGCCCAAAGGCAGTGCTAGAGGCCACAACCAGATGCTAAAGTTTCAGTCCGATCCGATGCCTTAATCAAAAGTTATAAGTGATTTTCTGAAAATTTCAATGGGAAATTGGAGCCCATTTTTGGCCATTATCTGTTTCTGGTGCCATAGAGCCCCACGTATTCGAAAACTCCGCCGGCCGCCATTTTCCCATTGAACGTTTAGAAAATCTTTTATAACTTTTAATTAAGGCATCAGATCGGACTGAAACTTTGGCATATGGTTGTGACCTCTAGCTCTACCTTTGGGCGGAGTATGAGCGTTCGGCGATGCGCAGTTTATTTTTGCGGTGAAAAAAACTGTAAATTTTTTTTTGTGACACACTGTACTTATACCCCTTGTTGAGTACCTGGCTTATACACCTGCCAAAAAAAAAACTCCAAGGACACCTAAGCATTTTTTATGAGTTATGTATGCGAAAGCACGAATGTCGTTCTTCCGCTCGCTTAGTTTGTTTGCAGCGTAGTGGTATGGACGGCCGCGTTTCGCTACTGCAGAGGTTGCAGCCGACGGCTGAATGCGCACTATCGTGAAGTTGCCGCACTGCACTGAGCTCGGCCGTGCAAACTCTCCAGAGTCTGCCTGGGCGGGCTCTGCTGGCCCTGCAGCCAGCTGCTGCGCCGCGATAGAGAGGGCTTCTCTGTGGGTGCCGTTCCTTGGAACTATACCGTGTGGCAGCCAATGGGAGCCTCGTTCCTTGAAACTATGACGTGCGCCAGCCAATGGGAGCCTATCCATCAAATCGCTGCAACAGACGACGGGCTTCGCTCCATTGGGACAGGTTATTTCAGGTGCCTTTTGGCACGGCTTCAAAAGCTGATAACGTCGGTTCGTTCAATTAAACAATTAATGCTTTCTCTTTAAAAAAATATTATGAAGATGGAATGTGTGCGAGGAGAGGTTGGCTTCCATAAAATAGCAAACTGTGTAAAAAGATTTTTTTTTTTTAAATAACGGGAAAAAAGCCCATGCAGACCCATTTACTATGCTTTTAACCCAATATTTCAAGAATCGAAGAGACGTATTTCACGAAAAAGCATCAGGACAAGATTATAGGTTTCTGTCAACCTTAAAATTCCAGAAATGTGTTTCTTTTTGCTAATTTTCTTTTACTTCAAAGAGCATTGTTTGTTCTATTTCAGTTTTTTACCCACATTGTTTAAAGGGACACTGATAGGGTATTTATGCTCGCCGAGGTTTTTAGTTGTACGTGACATATGAGAGCCCAACTACACCGAACAGAATTTGCGGCTCGAAATTCGGTTTCTTTCCGCGAGAACTGGCCGGTTTGAGTTGTGCTCACTCTGTTTTTTGTGGTCACGGGCCGTTTTCTAAGGTTTAGACACGACCACCAAATTTAATCAAAGTCATAGGGTCATTGAAGGCACACTGTCAATACTAAAAATAGAAAAAAAAAATATGAAACCCATTTTTTGTGACTTCCAAAAAGCTCCAAATACGTTGATTGAAAATAAAAGTTGCACAGACAGCCGGAAGCATTCTGTGCGTTCACTGCATAGTTTTCAACATGGCATCATTTCGCGTATCATGGGACTAGCAGATGGCAGCGGACGACGGGCATGGGACCTCTACTTCAGAACTGTCGTTTACGGTACCGGCAAATTCTGTCTTCCTTCGAAAGTGAAATTTTGGACCGATGAAAAGAATTGATATTCATCCCGTACGACACGCCCGAACAGCAAGCCGATTGCACGAAGACGTTGCCGAGCCGTTGTCCCTTCTCGTGCCTGAAGACATCGCTCGCTCAAACGTCAAGCACGAAGTGCGCACTTTGAGTTGAATATGCACGCGTACGGTTTCTTTACTAGGTGCGAATGTGGCCAATGCATGGTGCTGCCCGACTTCAAGTCGGGAGTGCACGTACTGGAGGGAAATCGGCAGCAAACTTTCCGACATACAGTCGACCTGCTGCATTACTACGAAAAAAATAGTTCCTTTAGTAGCTCAATGGAAAGATGTCTGCTTCACACGCGGCGGGCACGGGTTCAATCTCTAGTGTGGGCGTATAATTTTTTTTTTTCAAACATTTGGCGATGTTTACATTTATTTTTCTTTTTACAATCACTGAAAAAAAAAATTGTTATGGACGATACGTCGCTGAACTAAATGGTACGGGATTCTATTTTTGACAACTCTGCCGCACAATGCCACTTTCAACGCAGGACATGTGAGAAGGCTCTCCACACAACATCTTGGGAGTATTCTTTTCGGAGCCAATCATGGGAATTCACTACGGGCACTTACTACTAATTTCCAACACCTATATGTACAAACAACTCATCTTGAAGTACAGAACAGTGAGCGGAACAAACATAACTGCAAAGGAATCGCACAGCAAACGGATCCTGCAATGATTTTTGTCTGCTGCACGCAAAATAAAAAAAAAAAAAAAATTTTAAAAATCGTACGGTTGGGTGTAGCCACGTGACTTATGCTACTCACTCTCTCCTCTCCACTTCTCCGTGTGGTGTGGCGGTTTCTGTTTCAAGCAGTTGGGTTTTTTGGCTTTATTAAAAAAAGTATGTGACTGTAGCAAAATATTAATTGGGAAGTATTCCAACACCATAATAACTCGCCTGGCAAAAAAATTAAAAAACAATTTTGGGGGGTGTCAGTGTCCCTTTAACCACGCTTTTTTGCAATGCAAGCTCGTGCTGCAGCAAAGAACACTCGGTTGCCACTGCCCATACCTCTTGGATCTGACAATATAGGTCCTTGGAATCCTGACTAGCATTTAAGAACATTTGCAAAATTCAGACAGTGCAGGGACATGCATTCATGTAACCATTTTAAAACATATAAGAAGCTCTCAAACTCTGACGAGCAAACCTTAAAAAAAATTTACAGTCGGCCGTAAAAAAGATTGACTCAAGGGTGTGATCGCCCGGCCGGCGACAAGGCGACACAGGGCGCTTTAGTAGCATAAGCACGCTGGGGCCACCATTGCCAGATTAGTCCACCTTGGATGCACAGGGGATGTCGGCACACCGGAGCCGTTCCCGAAGCGTGCACCAGCTCATGACTCATAACGTAACAAGATTACAACAAAGAAAAGAAAAAGCATTGTCTCATGCGTGACTGATCATCCTTGAAAAAAGGCTGGTCGCAAGAAAATACAAATTGCTACAAACATTAACTATATCTCTCGAAGCACCCCTGCAATTCAAAGGTGGGAACGTCCCGGCCACTCTCGCTCCCTGTGCTTCCGCAAAATACAGCGCCGCGTGTGCGGTTTTACCGCTCCGGCTGCAAATCACTTCTGTTAATCTTTTTTTACGGCCGACTGTACAAACTTGTTCTGGATATTCAGCTATTTCTGTGAGACCAACAGATCGTCAGTGACTACTTCAGCTGTCTATATGAAAGATTACACACTGAACAATGCTTTACTGTTATATTATTATGGAATATAGCGAGACTTTATAGATATAATTTGTGCGTTTTGTTATCGTTGCAGTGGGCAGAAAGGATGCACTCAGCACCCCCTCCCTGGTGATCGTGTTAGTGTCTGTAGTCGGCGGCGTGTTCATCTTTTTTGCTCTTCTTGCTACCTGTTACAGGCAAGAAACTTTCTTCATTATCTTTCTGATTTCTGAACAGCTTAAGAATGCTTACAATCTTTATACTTGAGACCTTAGAAAGTTGTTTAAACGGAACTTTATGTTCAATATCTTCTCTTCTAGGTACAGTAGGCTCGCGATAATTCAAACTCGGATATTTCATACTTTCGGTTAATTCAAACAGATTTGAAAATTTTGGTGGTCCCGCTATGTTCTGAATGTATTTATAAGCTGCTTAATTGGAACGTCGTTTTCGCTTAATTCATTCTTTTTGTTCTCACGGCCCCGTTGAGTGCGCTTCTTTCCGAGCAATGGTGTGCTGCAGAGAAGCAACACTTGCGGAGCGTGCTTCCGTGGGTGTTGCTTCTCCGCGGTGCACTGTTACTCGGTGAGAAGCGCACTCAACAGGGCTCAAGCGGACACACATGAGCTCTGAAAACGGGTACCACGCAGACATTTCCATAGTAACTTGTACGGACGCTGTGACATAACGGCAGGGCATAGGTCCACATCACAGCGTCCGCGCAAGTTACAATGAAAACTGACACGTGGTGCCAGTTCAATGGAAACTGCTGCACGGTGCCAGTTTTCATTGCTCATGTGTTCCCTGCTTAGTAGTCCATATCAGACAACCTCTTGGCCTGATGAGCAAAGTTAATTTTGTTTTGAGTTGTGATCTGCTGTCTAAACAGTCCACGATAAACAACATTTTTAAAAGATAAATAAACTTATGTCATACATTTCACAAATGCTTTATGTATGGCATATCTGCTCATGATCAGTAGGCCTATGAGAGGAAATCACTAAATATCTGCTTTGTATGTGTTACATTCATATGACATAACATAATTTTATCATGCATCATATTTAGATTAATTTCTGATAATTCTAACTTGCGATAATTTAAACAAAATTCGTGGCTTCTTGGAGTTTGAATTACCTAATGAGTCTACTGTATTCCCGTTTCCTTGCAATACCCGACGTACAATAAATGCGTTTTACGAACTGTAGTTCGCACTTGGTGTTCTGGATGTCCACAGAGACAAAGTTCAGCTCTTTCGCTAATGTGTTATGCCTGTACTTGCTTTTAATTATGCCTATGTAGAGGAAACTGGCAAAAATCTCTTTTGCATGTGTAGCTATCCATGTAACAAATCATAAAGTTGTCTAGCATCATATTTAGATGAATTTCTGATAATTCAAACTAAAATCTGTGAGTTCCTGGAGTTTTAATTAATGAGAGTCTACTGTACTTCCATAAAATACCAAGCATACGCCGATTCCTCACTAAGCGCCCACCCCTCAATTTTGTAACACTTGGAAAATACACAAAGTACATATTTTTACATATTGTTGACCTAGGGAGAGCCCATCCTTCAGTTTTACATGATTATCCCCAAATATTTAGACAGCGTTGACTCAGGATTTTACGGTAGTCACGTTTTACTTGAATTCACAAAAACCATTCTCGGAGGAGGAGGAGGAGAACAAAACATCTTTATTGGCCATTTTAGGATGTGGGGTGGATCCTCATTTCAGGTAGCCATGTGCCGTCTTGGCTCGATCAGCCCTCTTGACCAGCAGGGACCGAAAATGTCAAGGTCACAAGTTTTTATGTGGTCCTGTTCAAAGTTTGTCTACTAATTTTCACTAGTTATTTTGGTTGCTGTTGGAGTTTTGGGTAGATACTCAGATTCATTCAGCAGATTTCATTTCACATAATCTATGCTGCGAAAACATGATATTCCTAAAATTGTTGGTTCATCCTGGGCAGTACTTTTCTTTAATAAATGGTAAAAAGCACATGTTTCACGGACAATCTCAAGGATGCTAAGCTTTGACACCATTAGTGCCTAAAGTTGAGATTCTTGGGGTTGTTGGGGAAGACCCGTGTAAGCCATTTATTGAAACAAGTTCTACCCAAGATAATCCAACACCTTTTGAGTGCGAGTGCCAAAGCTTGAGATGTGTGCATGGCGGCGGCAGCAGGAGAAGCACCATGCCCAAGCTGGAGCAAGCGCCGGGCCCCAAGAAGCCCCCGGGGGCCAGGCACAAGGTGGCCCTGCCCCCGGCTGCCAAGAAGGAAGAAGACGGAACGCACGGCAATGCCTCCTCAGCCGCGGCCGCGGCTGCTGCCGCGGCTGCCCTGGACAGCCGCATCATCACCTTCGGGAGCATGCCCTCCTACCGGTACGGCCTGCCACTGTGCTCCGAGAGCCGTGCTATAGGAGCTGTGCTCCAGAAGCCATGATTCAGGAGCCCTGCTCTATGAGCCATGCTTTAGGGGCCCTACATTAGAAGTCTTACTTTAGGAGCCCTACTTCAGGAGCCCTGTTTCAGGAGCCCTGCACTGTGAGCCGTGATCTAGGAGCTTTACCTCAGGAGTCCTGCTCCAGGAACCGTGCTCCAGAAGTTGTGCTTTGGAAGCTCTGCCTCAGAAGCCATGCACTGTTAGCTGTGCTCTGGGATCCCTGCCAGTAGCCGTGCTCTAGGAGCCCTGCTCTAGGAGTCCTGCTCTAGGAGTCCTGCTCCAAGAGCCATGCTCCAGTAGCCGTGCTCCAGTAGCCGTGCTCTAGGAGCCATGTTCAGGAGCCCTACTCTAGGAGCCCTGCTCCAGGAGCCATGCATCAGTTGCTGTGCTCTAGGAGCCATGTTCAGGAGCCCTACTTTAGGATTCCTGCTCCAGGAGTCCTGCTCCAGGAGCCATGCTCCAGTTTCCGTGCTCTAGGAGCCATGTTTGGGAGCCCTACTCTAGGAGTCCTGCTCCAGGAGCCGTGTTCCAGTTGCCGTGCTCTAGGAGCAATGTTAGGAGCCCTACTCTAGGCGTTCTGCTTTAGGAGCCAAATCCAGGAGTTGTGCTCCATGAGCCATGCTTTAGGAGCCTTGCACAGTGAACTGTGCTTTAGGAGCCATGCTCCAGGAGCCTTGATCTAGGAGCATTTTTCGAGACTGCTTCTCTTCCCAACAGGGAGGACAAGCTGCAGGAGCTGAAGCGCAAGCAGTCCCAGTCGCTGCAGGACGATGGAGAGATGGATGAGACGTCCACTTTCATGGAGCTGTCCCCTAACAATCTGGCCAAGGTGACTGTGGCCGACTTCCTTTCCTGCTTTAGTGACCACTCAAACGGCTGTCAGAGATTTTTAATTTTTTTATTTGTAGGAGCATGCTTTTTGGCTTGGCACCCCAGTTCCGGTCAGGCTTTATGTACCATAGCCATCTCAGGGATGGTGTGATGCAGTACCAAATTGCATTTTTCAAAGTCAAACAAACGCAGATATGTTCAGGGTATTTGCATTTTGAGCAGAAAGCAAGGACAGACCCGTTAGTCCTATTGAGCGTGCTTCTCTCGTAGCAGTGATGTACGACAGAGAAGTGAGAAAAGCAGGGGCGGCAGCACGGACACCGGCAGTGTGTGATGGTGCGCCTTTTTGAGAAATACTTCACACGGTGTACGAGCGCTTATGCCAGGTATTTTGTGAAAAGTGGCACACTTGAATCAGAAGTTTGAAGCAATCTTAAAATGATTTGCAAGACAATGGAATTATTTATTGGCACCATACTCTATGTTTTCATGTGTTTATGGTGACTCGTATCTTCTCCCAGGCAACTTTGTGATACCACATCCAATTTGCATGCGGCTTTTGTGATGCAAAAAGTCACGAACACAAGTCGGAACTCGGGCTCTTTGACACGATTTTGGCACGCAGAGCAAAACTTTCACGCGACTTTTGCTATACGCAAAACAAAACTTGCACACGATTTTTGCGTAGTGCAAAAGGACATACTCGCGCACCTCTCGCGACGCGAAAATGACACGGAAGTTTAGCTATTCACGCGCTGCATAATGCAAATGCCCGCACTATGTTAAGAGAGACTGTTCTTGTGCCCCCACCCTCCCCAGGACGGCGCCCGCTGGGGTGGTCACCCCGGGGACACCCTGAGTGAAGTGGAGCGCACGCTCAAGAGCCTCAACGGCTACCACGAGGAGATCCTGGAGGCCCTCCACTCGGCCTCGTCCCATGCCAGCCCCGGACAGGACTCCCGGAGGGACCTGCCCCCGAGGGCGGGCATGCTGCCCCCGGACCCAGACCAGAGCCCCGGGGAGCCCATACGCATACGGAACCTCGAGGATCTGCTCCGCCAGCTCGAACCAGGTGGGGCCTCCCTTCCTCCCCGTTGGAAGTCTCGACTCTGTGGTCGCCGACGGGATGAGAACAACGGGGAGTAGTTCGGGTCGCCCCGTCTCCAGCGGAAGCTTCCTGCCTTCGATGATGCTCTGGTGTCTTGTGAGTCTCGAGCGCATAGCGTGCGGTCGAAGCATGCCAGAAGGCTACGAACATGCGCTGGAGTCTGGACATCTGAGAGAGAAAGAGAGACACCCTGCCGTTCTCGTCTTATCGGTGACTATTGCAGCAGACGTGGTTCTGCGGACGTCCCGTGGACGTTCGCAGGACATATGTGCTGCCTGGAAGAAAGCCGTGCACGAGTCGCTTGTTGATATAGGGCTTGTGGAATTCTTAAAGATCTATCAGTGAGACGGTGGACTTTGGCATCAGAAGGTCTATGTGACCGTTGGGTTTAATGGTAAAAAGAACAACACCCTCATCTTCCTCTTTCTAAAGTCTCGATCAGTACTTCAATTCCTCGTGCCTTCTTCTTTCTTCTCTTCGACTTCCTCAATATCCTCCCGAGCAAGCAAAGGTGAATGGATTTCAAGTAGATGCAGCTTTTGAACTGGTCTTCGATAAACGTTTCCATCTTTGTCTCTGACGAGACATGCTCTAACGCACCCATCCGTTTCAGCGTAGACTTCTGTAACTCGGGCGAGCTTCCAAAAATATCTTGGACATTTTTTATCCTCTAACAGGACTACGTCATCAACTTTCAACGAAGCAGCCTTGACATTTGGGTACTGATGAGCCGATCGCAGTTGCACGATATACTCTTTACTCCACCGATTCCAAAAGTGGTCCATAATCAGTTGTCTATACCTTAGCCTCCGAGTGGATTCCCTGTGAGTCATGGTCTTGGGAAGCTGAGAGTATGAGCCGACTTCTGGAAGAACAATAAGGCTTTGTCCAATCAGAAAATGAGCTGGACTGACAGGTGTCGGCTCCTTGAGGTCAGAGTAAACGTATGTTAATGGTCGGGAATTAATAATGGCTTCTGCTTCTACAAGCACCGTTGCTAGCTCTTCAAACTTGAGACTGCTTCTTCCCAAAACTTTCCTTAAAACTACCTTTACTGAGCGAACTAACCTCTCCCACCACCCTCCCCACCAGGGAGCGCTTTCAACAATAAATTTCCATCTAATTCTTCGTTCAGCGAGGTATGACGATAAGTCCGGATGACTCAGGGAGTTCCAAATTGCCCTTAGTTCAGCCGACGCCCTCTTGAAGGAAGTAGCATTGTCCGAGTATATTGTACTTGGTATTCCTCTTCGGGAAATGAACCTTCGAAATGCGAGAAGAAACGCTTCCGTGGAGAGGTCGCTCGAGAGCTCCAGATGGACAGCTCTTGTTGTCGCGCACGTAAACAAGACAATATACGCCTTAGAGCTGCTAGTTCCTGCACTCGCTGCCTTCACATATAAAGGTCCTGCGAAGTCTATGCCTGAGATCGCAAACGGCTTTGTAACATTCACTCGTTCCGCTGGAAGGGGAGCGAACGGCACAAGTGTAGGCTTCGTGCGAAACCTCGAACATAGAAGACAGCTTCGGATAGTCTTCTTAATTACCTGTCGTGCTCGAGGTATCCAAAATCGCTGTCGGAGGGTGGCCATGGTGCTAGATACTCCTTCATGGCCGACTTGATAATGAGCATCCATAATAATCAGCTCAGTCAGACGATGATCGTTCGGTAATAAGATTGGCTGTGTCACGGAGCAAGGGGCGTTGAATTGTTGCAGCCGTCTCGTTACCTTGAGCGTATTATCATGGTCCAGAAATGGGTGCAGATCCGAAAGAGGAGAGGCCGGCTCAATGTCCTGATTGCTAGAAAGCAACTGAATCTCCCTTGAGAAGGCTTGTCCTTGAGCTTGCTTTATCCAATATCGTTCTGCTGCAGCATATTCTACGGCCTCCAATTTGCCGACTTGTCGATTTTCTTTAGAACTGCTGTTACGCGCAAACCTCATCACCCAGGCGGTTATTCTAAGCACCTTCTGATACCCGTTGTACTTCTTTAGATCAAAAAGTGCGGCCGTTTCTTGACCTTCTGTTTGAAGGTACACCTGGGTCGGTTTCAACTCATTTGTTTCGAGCTCATTGAGTTCCCCTAATTGAGGTGGGGTTTCCGGCCAGTCATCTGCTTCAGAAGTGAGCCATTTCGGCCCTTCCCACCACAGACAGCTATCGCGAAGAATCGATGGAGATTCTCCTCTTGTCAGCAGGTCTGCTGGGTTAGTCTCTCCCGGGCAATGTCTCCATTTCTCTGGCACGCTCTTAGTTTGAATTTCTAGAACGCGGTGTTTGACAAATGGCTTCCACCTGCTCGCCGGACCTCTTATCCAACTTAGCACAACTGTCGAGTCAGTCCACATGGTGTATGTTTCTTTAAGCTCTGTGTACGTACAACCTAGGTATTCTAGCAGCCTCGTTCCTATTGTGGCTCCCATGAGCTCCAATCGTGGCAAAGACAATACCTTAAGAGGCGCCACTCTTGACTTTGCGGTAACTAAAGTAGTCCCAACGTGCCCACTGTTATCTTCGATTCTTAGATAGGCGCATGCTCCATATGCCTGTGTGCTGGCGTCCACGAATATGTGCAACTGGATTTCTTTAAACGGTCTTTTTTGTCCATTCTTAATGTGCCTTGGCACATGTACTGCGTAGATGTTAGGAATGTCTCTGCACCAGTTGGACCATTCGACATATAGTTCCTCAGGTATTTCTTCATCCCAGTTCACTCCCAGTTTCCATAGTTTCTGAAAGAGGAGCTTAGCTCGTATAGTGAAAGGGGCAATGAATCCCATGGGATCAAATATTCTTGACGCAGCTTGCAGAATGAAACGCTTGGTGTCCACTTTTGTCTGAAGGAACGATGTAAGAGAGTCCACCGAAAACTTGAAACTGTCACTGTCCTTGTCCCAAATCATTCCCAGCACCTTGGAGATTCTGGACAGCTTAAGGTTCCTGTCTGCCGGTACCGCATCTGCTTCCGCTTCGTTCATTATGTGCTGCACGTGCTTGTCGTTGGAGGCCCATTTTCTCAAGTTCATGCCCGCATCCTTCATGATAGAGTTAGACGTCTCGTATAGCGTAATCGCTTCTTCGACCGTGTCGGCAGCCATCAAAATGTCATCGACATAAAAAGAGCTCCTCATCTTTTCAGCAATGTTCTTTATAACTGCCACATTTTTTAGGTGGTGTTGAATTGTTGCAGACAATAGAAAAGGACTGGAGGATACACCGAAAGGGACTCTGGTCATTCGCCATTCCTGTAAGCTTTCTAAATCAAATGGCCCGGTGGGCTCATTGGCAAACCACAGGAATCTGACCGCATCACGGTCTTTTTGACTGATTTTTATCTGAAGGAAAGCCTTTTCAATGTCAGCTGTCAAGGCGATCGCATACCATCTGAACCGAAGAAGGATCTGGAGGATGTCTGGATTCAGGTTTGGTCCCTTTTCCAGGCAGTCATTGAGAGACTTGCATCCTTTTGCATGTGACGAAGCGTCGAAGACTACTCGTAGCTTTGTGGTTGTAGACTCCTCCCGAACAACTTCTCGGTGTGGCATGTAATAGATGCGTTTCTTGATATCACCTTCCAAGTCGGTTGGTACCACTTCCGCATGACCTAACTTTATGTACTGACGGATGGTGGTGTCGTACCGATGAAGTAAACCCTCTTTGGATGAAAGTCGTCTGAGAAGCGAACGCAAGCGTGAGACTGCTATGTCTCGATTGTTCTGCAAGGGCTCTATGCAATCCTCCTTCCAAGGAAACGCTACTTCGTACCGTTGGCCATCTTTGACTATGTTTTCTTCAAAATATGCGCAGAGGCTTAGATTGTCGTCCGCAGCTTCCTTAGCCGAAATTCCCATGGCATCCAGCTCCCAGAAGGCTTTTAGTAATTCAGAGTAATTTCATCCTCTGTCAAAGTTTGGGTGTTCAGTACACACACCATCAATGTCGATGCGGACGTCAAGATTCCTTTTGGTATAGACGGTCCCTGCAAAGTCCAACCTATTTTCGTGTTGACTGCCACCAGCCCCTCGCTTTCCTTACATCTCACGACCTCTCCTGTGAGGATTTTCCAAACTTGGTCGGATCCAATAAGTAAGCTAATTCCCGGCGTAACTTGCACTTTTGGAACCACTGTGTCATCTGCTAGATTTCTATTTTGCAGGCGTAAGAACTCTACAAAACTGTCCTCAGAAATTTGCGCTGCAATGTCCTGGCAAATAACCGGAATGGTTACCGCTTCGATTAAGCACTCGCTATCGTCAAATTGGCTCTTGAGGCGGACCTCCACCACATTGCTATGTTCAAGCTCCTTGCTGGTAGTGCTGCCGAACGTGTTCAGTTTAAGCTTCGTCTTCCGCAGAATCTTGAGATTCAATCGCTGCGCCAAGTCTTCTTGAATAAATGATCGCTGACTGCCTCCGTCCAGAATTCCCCTTATATATCGGCCGGTGTCCTTGTTGATGACCCATGCTTTAAATGTCTGTAGGTGGACTCGATCTCCGATTGTCCGTTGACACGAGTCATCTCTCTTTTCATACGGCTTAGACGAAGACACACAGGCGACTGCTCCTTCTTTTGTTCGTGTGTATGACGGGTCACACATAGTGACGGCATGTCGACCACCGCATGATGAGCAGATCAGTCTTTTTCGACAATCCCTAGCACGATGCCCTTTTGTAGTACACCGGAAGCATCTCCCATCTCTTCCTAACATCTTCTTTTTGTTCTATAGCGTCTCCTGATCATCGCAAATTTGTGTCTCGTGCTTCTTCGAGTGACAAAAAAGGCATTCCCCTGGCGCTGAAGGTGCCGCACTATGGAGCGCTGATGCCGCCGGCTGGGACTGGTCCTTCGTTTCGTCTGTTTGCTCCTTGCCTCGAGCTGCGGGGTGGCCGCTTCGCTCTCTGCTTTCTACTTCGATGCGGAGGAAACAGGATCTCACTGAGATTCGAAGCGGCAGTGGATGTCTCTGATGCGGAACCGTCGCCCTGCATCAAATTTGCGTTGCTTGAGAGCTTGTAGCTGACTTGCCGATGATATTGCACGACGATGTCATATGGCATTGCTTTCATCAGAATGTCGCTGAGCATTGCCGCAAAACTCGCAGTTGGAACATCTAGGGCGTTGAGGCAACGTATGTTCAGCTGCGTTGTATCATAAAGCTTGCGAATACCCCGGGTGTCAACCGAAGATCGAATCTGAGGAAGGTTTCGCAGTGCTGATAGGTGCTCCTGCTCTATTCTTTTGGGATCTCCGAAGCGCTGTTTCAGGAGTTCAATAGCATCTGCGTAGCACCGCTCGGTCGTCGGTAACCCGGCAATTGCCGATGCTGCATCACCTGCGAGGTAGCGTCGTAAGTAATGGAACTTGTCAGTTGTAGACAATGCCCGACTTGAGTGGATTGTTCCATCAAATTGCTCCCAGAAAGCGCGCCAGTGGCTGATGTCACCTTTAAAAATGGTTATGTCCAGTTTCGGCAGTCTTGGACCACTCTCTGGGGTGATACTTTCAGAAGCGCCTTGTAATGGGGCCGTTGTAGGAGGAACAGGGTTACGTCTGGTGATCTCCAGGTGTTCGATCTTGTATCGCAGCTCTGCGAGAACCCTGATGGCGTTGTCTTGGTATTCGGCTACCGAAGCGTACTCATTTTCCAGCTCCGTCGTTGGAAATAGTGGCTCCAGCTCCTCGTTGATGCAGTCTAGCTCGATGTTGCTGGCAGACAGCCGATCCTTGACCGCGTGGAGCCTGCCTAAGTCCGTCTGTGGATCATTCAAGATCGTGTCGGCGTCGTTAATCAGCCGCGTGTTCTGGGCTCGTCGGGCGGAACGCTTGGCTTTCAACCGATCCATGGCTTTTTGTGAGTTCAGTGGTCAGCTGATGCCGTTTCCAACCTTGTAGATCTCTAAGCCGGAGAGCTTGTCTTCGCGTTGCTTCTCCCGGTCGTAATGCTTCCGTCGCTTGGATCTTTGTGATCAATAAGATTTCCGTTTCACTTGCCTTCGCAACGTCTTGTTGAGCACGATACGATGACTTGAAGCTCTCTCCCGGGTTTCGGCACCATGTGGAATTCTTAAAGATCTATCAGTGAGACGGTGGACTTTGGCATCAGAAGGTCTATGTGACCGTTGGGTTTAATGGTAAAAAGAATAACACCCTCATCTTCCTCTTTCTAAAGTCTCGATCAGTACTTCAATTCCTCGTGCCTTCTTCTTTCTTCTCTTCGACTTCCTCAACAGGGCTTGTTTCGCGGAACTGTGAAATGTAAAGTGGCAGTCGGGAAGTGGATGGCCCTTCTTTCCCACACGCGATGCACCGTCGGGACGGTGCCATGTCACCCGCGTCGTGCACCGTGTTCCAAAGGGGATGTTGGCCGCAGCATTGACACTAGCCCTAAACGCAACCAGAGCGTGTTTAGGGCTAGAGTTCTATATAAAATTGAACTCGTCTCGATTATTCTGATAAGCCCAAAGAGCACATAATGCATTGCGCGTGCATTATGCGTGACGTTTTGTTACACTTGGTTACGGGGAGCTTTGGTGGTTTTAGTTGCATTGCGCGCACGACGCACTGGTGTACTCCCCACGGTTTATCAGAACGATCGAGACGGTACCGACGGTCGCCCGCTACCGCCGGCTCCTGTGGCTCGCACGTCCCACAACCCACAGTCCCACGTATTCGAGGGACTGTGGGCTCAGAGCCTCGAAGAGCCAGGACTGAATGAGAAAGAGAAGTGCTCACCATGCTCCAAGAAAGTCCCCCCAACATCCACCCCTCTCGCAGCGGGAGCGCTGGAGCCCGGCGGATCCGAGCGGCTGAGCGAGCCCGAGGCAGACCGGCACTACCTGGACGGTGGGTCCCCCTACGGCCTGCGCTACCTGCTCGAAGACGCCTACGCCCAGCCGGACGAGGAGGAGGAGGAGAGCGAGGACGGGGCCACGGCCCTCTACGCCACAGGGGGCCCTCCGCCCCCACGCCAGCGCTCCGCCAGCGAGGAGGCCCTGCCCCAGGCCCTGGCCGCCTTCCCGCACTCCCTGCCCAGCCCGCCCTCCGAGGAGTCCGGCTCCCTGGAGGAGAGCGCCTTCCAGCCGCCCCTGCTGCCGGGACCCCCCCGCAGGCCCCGCCCCAAGAAGAAGTTCCCAGAGTACAAGGTCTAGGCGCCCCCCCTATGCTTCCCGTCTTCCAGCGTGGCACCGGAGTGTGGCCGTGCCCGCCCCCGGCGCCCCCGCACAAACTCTTCAGAGCCGTTCCGAGACCGCCCGGTTCGGTACCCGCGTAGGTTTTTTGTCGGTGAGGGGGGGCAACGACGCCGGTGTGAGGTCGGCGCAACCGCTTCCTGTGAGCGGTCGGAGCTTGGCTGTAAAGGTGTATCCACACGACGGACCAAATTGCTGTTTTGGTCCGCGGGCCGCGCATCACGTGATCTTACGTCACCACTTTTCGAGGTCCGCCGGCGACCCGCGGCCCGCGCTTGTGAGAAATGCCAAGCGCTTTTTTCGCCCGGACCTTGGCGGCGGACCGAGGCGTTTTTAGTATAATTGAAGTGCTAAGTCTGGCAACAAGCTGACTTTTGTTGTTTGGATTGGAATCCAAATCCAAAGTCGTTTTCTTCTGGCGCCAACTGTTGAAGACGAAGAAGACGAACCTTTCGTTGTGCGACGATGGAACTTTTTACTTCATCGCGCTCGTGGAGCAATTGCCCGCTCTGTGGGACAATATTCGCGACGACTACTCAAATTATCATCTAAAGATGTCCCCGTGCCTTTTTCGCTTCACTTAAGTCCTTCTCGCTCTCAAGAGTCAACGCCAGGGCCACCGCGGCCAAACGTCCCTTTTGTTCAACCACCATCTTGGCTCCTTACAAATAGCCTCAAAACAGCTCGCTGCATGCGTTTGGCCGAGCTGTGAGGTCGAGGGTTAGACCGGCCCGTTCACTCTGTCGTCTGCTCTTTTGGTCCGCCGTGTGGATGCTCATTGCAGCCGGGCGGCCCGCGGGCCGCGCATCACGTGATCAATCGGTCCGCGGCCCGGTCCATCGTGTGGATACACCTTAACCCGTGCCATTTGTGGGAAGCTCCGTTGCATGCACCGTTTACTGCGAAGATGTTAGTGTAAAAGAAGCTGCTCACCGATAAAGCCGAGACTCGCTCCTCCAGCTTCAAACTGCTGAATTGTTTTCCCTGCATGCTATGCATGCAGAGAGCATGGAGTTTCGTTGCTCCAGTGGTTGTGTAGCGTCAACCAGCTTCTTAGGTGAAAATTGGTCCACTTGTACCTGGGTTATGGAGCTGGTCTTAGCTGGATCCATCTGGGACCATTTTCATGAATGAGCCGCAGGTGGACTGATTTTCACCTGGGTTGTCAGCTCGGAGGTGAACAGGGCATGATGTGCAAGAAGCCCGCTTCCACGGTTCTAGACAAAAAAGGTGTCGACGGTTTCATCGTGTCGCTTTCGGCGGCGCGGGCTCGAAAACGGGCCAAGAGTGTTTTTCCGAAGTATCTTCGTAGACTGCAGCTGAACCCTTCGATGCAGCTTGGCCCTTTGGGGCACCCGCCACTGTGCCGGTCGTCCGGCACTCGAAACCCTGCCAGTTCTTTTTTTCTTTATCTCTTCTCCTCTTGTGGGTCACGAGAGCCTGCCTTCAGTCGTGTCGTCTGCTCGTTGCCGTCCGCACACAGCGAGCCAGGCCGGGATTTGCAGCCGTGTCAAGGCCCGGCGGCGCCGTCCGAGAGAGAGAGTGCCGCAAAGTGTTCCGAGCGTCCGATCGAGATAAGCCCAAGGAGCCAAGTGCCAGAGGAAGCAATAAGCATCTCTAGGACTACCGGTTTTTCCCCCCCACCACGACAGTGACACCGGACACGCGTCTCGTGCCCTCGGTGCCAACTGCCTCCATGCACCAGCGTGCTAGAGCTAGCGGCCAAAATATACACTCGTTCACTCTTACCGTGGCAATGCACCAAACAACAGCTCGGTTGACGTGTGACAACCAAACGAGCAAAAAGAAATGGGACACCACACTTACCGTTGCCAAGAGCCTGCCGCATTTTTTTAAAAAAAGAGCATACTCCGTGAAGGGACGGCACGAATTTCTACGGCAGTGACGCCGCTTGTCACAATGTGTATAACCATGGAAGAAAGTGATCTGTACACCTCTGTAGTCGTGCGAGCAAACAGTTAAAGAGACGCATCAGTATTTGTATGTGTGCTAGTGCTGCAAGGTAGGTAGCCATTATATCACTAATGGGACTCGTCTTGAGAACGTTTCTAATCGCTCCAATGAGCGTTGCCTGCTGGTACGTGGGTCTGCAACCCTGGGACGCCGGAATGTTTCGGGGTACAAGAGAGTGTTGCCTGTGGAGCGTTTGTGTCTGAAGTACGAGCGGCCGAGTGCGCCTTGTGTATTCCTTTCCGAGTCAGTACAAATGCAACGTCCAAGCTGGCTTGGCTCGCGGCCAATCCTCGTGTCCCACCATCCCCCACTCCCCCAGCCACTGCCACTGCCACCGTCGTCCCGGCCTTGCGCCAGACTGCCCGTCGTGTCCCGAGGTGTACGCTGTCCTAAGCTTACATTTGAGCAGGTGGTCAACTCGATGCACCTGTTATATTCATCCCCAGAATTCTACTTTGTTGCTGTGATTTCAGTTGCATAAATTGATAAGCATTTTGGCCAGTATTGGCCATTAAAATGTGAAAACGAAACTGTAGGCAGCCCGGGAGAGACAAAGGCATCTGTATTATGCAGAGCACTTCACGTTATTCCAAGAAGTTGTGGTATTCGGGCATTGCCAAACTAACTCTAAGCCTAGGCAACCGATTCAAGCTAGAGGCCTTTGCATTGAACCACCCGTGTTCTTAGCGAGATTGTGTTAGCTTACTGCCTTAATCGTCCCAAACATTTTAGGCTCGTTTTATGTCAAAGTATTTCTCTGCTTTCTTCGATCTCTTTTTTATTTTTCCCACGTGTATAGCTGCCAGCATTATTGGTGCGCGCTGGTTCATAGACTGCCGTGGTCTCCCAATGCCCATCCCGACTGCTAGACGGTAAAAGGGCATCATCTGAGGACAAACCCGCGTCGCACTGTTAGCTGCCGAGAAAGCTCCGGAAAATCTTTTGGGATCGGCGGAGTCATCGCGGCGCCAGTGACGCCTGCGCCTCTGTCCTTGCAGATGACTCCCGTGGAGCAGCCTCACAGGAGGAACTACTACAAGTGATGACGCAGCGCGTACTCGCAGTTCACTAGCCTCCGGCGGTCCAGGCCCAATGCCCAGCCGAACCTGCGGCGCCGGCAGTGGCAGTGGTGGGGTTTGCGGTGGCCGCGGCGCCAGTGGTCGGCACCCCAGCCCCCTCCCCACCTTTGTCCCCGTAGAGCCACGTATCCGTCGTAGCTCGTCTCACTCTCTCTCTCTCTCTCTCTCTGTCTGTGTGCAGTCTTTCGGTCGCTAGCGCCTGCCTCGCTCCTTCACCGCTCTCTCATTATAAACTCACTCGGTCGTCGGCAGCATGTGGATTTATTCTGTACTCTAGTGCGCTCTTCCTTTGTACTCACGAACGAATTAAACGACGGACGTTTCCTGTTTCGCCTTGCTCTCGTTTCTTCGGCGGGGACCCTTGGAGCGGTACACCGTTCGCTGACGGCGATGGCGAAACAATGGTGTTCTTGCTATACCTAGTTCGTCACTAAGCCAACAATGCTGGGGAAGTTACGTGCATGTTGGACCCAAAGCATGTCTATTTTTCGCCACATGATCACGCTCCCACCCATACCCACGCACAGGGAGCAGGTTTGGGCGACAGAAAGGGTTGGCCGATTAGTCTGGTGAGCAAGTAGCTCCCACAACACTGTCGGCATAGGAATGAATGGAGCATAGTGCGATGTGGTGTTAATCGTTATGTTTGTTCCGAAGGCAGGTAGAGAGTACGGAAGCAAAAGAATTCGACGGGAAACTATAAGTGGCCCACACATTCTGACCAAAACATACTGTCTTTAGCTTTGCACCACAGAAGGTTTGAGTGTTTACTGAAACCAACTAGCTCATTCTTGAAAATGTTCGGGGCTGCTGAATCAAAGCAGTCAAGTGAGGGTTTGGGTATGGGACAGCAGAGGACAAACGTTTTTACTATGGTGCCACTGTCTACAAGATTCTTGCCTCTAAGCGGTGCATAGAACCTTTTTTGACTAAAGCGCATTAATTCACGGAATTTTTACATAGTTAAAAGCCTCGGAGAGGTTGTTCCGAATGAATGGTGCTGAGAATTGAGTTCCCTCGAAGGAGGAAAACAAAATGTGCACTTTGAGTGCTAGTCAACACGGTACCCATTGGTGATTGCATGAAACTCCTTTTGAGGCCATAATAACATCTTCAGGAGATCCTGTCTGCTGGTCACAGTAGGATTACCTGGATCTTGCACGACCCTCGGAGCAGAGGAGAACTTTGCGAATCCTTAACAGTGCTGAACGGCAAAAAAAGATGCTTCTATTGCTGCCAAAGAATGTGGTAATCGGAGGCTAAGCAGATTGTTCATGCATGCTCAGAGCTTTTCTAGAAAAAGTTAACGTGGCAGCACACTAAAGCTAAAGGAAAATTGGTGCGTGGTGCCATCTTGTCTGGCAATGCAACAGGATCTGGCGTGGTAATGTGGGTATGTTGGTAAGAGTGCTGCCATATCAAATGGGACCATTTTTGTCATTTCTGCTGAGAGCTGGGCTTTCGCTAAGCCCCAGTAGTTTTGCTGCTGGTTCAGTGCACACAATAAAATGTGCTTTAGTTGTTCCTTTATGTTTCTTTTATTAACCATTTTGCAAAGAAAATTTTACAGCATGCACTTCCAAGAAATAGTCTATAACATACCCTATACACTTCTTGAAAATATAGTAAGCAAATATAATATACTCTTACAAATCATTTTACAATGTATACTCGACATTTTATGATGTGAACACTTTTACATGATAGTTTTGGGATGTGTGCATACACAAAAAAACCTCATTGTAAGTAAACAAAGTTGTGGCATGTTGGACATTTTTTAAAAGTTGATGTTCACAAAACGTGTACATTTAAAATGCACAAATTGTTGGGGGCTCAATCAGTTTACAAATAAGCCCCATTTAAAAAAGTGCACGAGCTATGCAGCAAGGAAACATTGCCACTTAAAACAAAACGGGAACATAGTAAAGATATAAAAATGTTGTCAGTTTCTTTGCAAGAACATATTTTTTGCCTTATTGATTTGTGAGGGATGGATGGAGGGATAAACACGCACACCACGAACCGAGGCTCTGTTAACAGGTTTGATATGCTGTGCTCTTTATACACCTACACCTATTGAAGAAATTAAGCTAAAATAATTTTCACTCCCAGAGATATATATTTTTTTGTGGCAAATATGTTATTAAATGTGTCGAAGTTTAAAGGGATACTTGAACGAAATTTTAAATATTCCCGTCGTGTTCAAAAATAGGTTGAATATGTACCGCAATATCCGTAAATGGCAATCGCACGCTTGTATTTTGAGCCTGGTGGCTGTATTTTTCGTTATAAACGGCCCACTCTGGCAAGCGCTCGGAGAAGGCCCAGCGGAGACCACGTGACATCCAACGCAATCGTGACGTAGGTCGTCTCAGGACGAGCAAAGCTACGGCGAGGCTGACGTCGAGAGGATGGCCTAGTCGTTCCAGCCACCGAAGCGGCTCCTTTTGTACGAATTTTGAGTGACGGGTTAATCTTCTGTAATCTTGTAGGGGGACAATAGCGACTTCTGCGACACACAAAAGGCATTCTCAGGAAGAGGGGAGTTCCTCCTGCCCCTCTTCTTTCGTCGTGGCCAGAGGCGAGACACTCATCATCACTAGCTGTTAAGGCTCCTAGACGGGCATTACAAGCGAGGCGTTAGCGACACCCACCAGGTGCTCTTTGCTAATCGTTTAATTTGTTTTAAAATTCCTTTTCGTGACTTTTTTAACAAGATATTGGTATGTTCGATGTGATGCTGCTCATTTGAACACATCTAGACCAAAAAATGAGCGCCGAAATTTTGTTGGAGTATCCCTTTAAGCATAAAAAACGACTGCAGTAGAACTCGATGCATCAAATGAAATTGAGAAACAGTAAATCTTTTTTGGGTTATTGTTTCCTGTCAATGCTTACTTTTATCAACATGGTCCTACAGACATTTTTAACATTATGTTATTTTTTATTGATGTGAGTTGCAGACTTTTTGCCTTGAGTGGCTGTCTTCACTAAAACGAATTCCATAGCAACCCTTTCGCATTGACACAACGATATGAAAATAATTACAATAGTTTGTATTTTAACTTTTGGCGAGCAATTTTCTCTTAAGGCCCGTTCACACTCTTGCAACTGAGAATGACCGAGAGAGACCAGACCGGTTTTTATGCCTCCTGCGACGTCTTGGGACCGGATGCGCTGCAGCGGAGCTGGTCCTAAGACATTGCAAGAGGCTTAAAAACCGGTCTGGTCTCTCTCGGTCGCAAGAATGTGAACAGGCCTTTACAATATTTTGCCATTAAGGGGAGTGTCACAACGGTGCATGCGCGTCGGTTCCCCTGCAAGAACGACGGTTGCTTCCCGCAATGCTTGGATAGAAAGTAGCGTATTACTGTGATTCACACGATTACCAGTGACCTCCGCGCTTCCCCGTGCCCCATTCTTCGGCAACACCGCGAGTTACAGAGTGAATTTTACGACAGTGTGAAATGCGGAACATTTTGAGGATTTGGGAATTTCTCGTGAAACGCGGGACACGAGCCCTCAATGCGGGACAGTCCCACGAGTAGCGGGAGAGGTGGTCAGCCTATTCGTGCCGGTTTTTCCATGCATTGCCTTTGTGTGATAGTGCCCTTCTACGATGAAACACCCATGACCTTCAGAGCTGCACAGTCACCGTTGGTACTCGTGACAATAGGTGTAGACTTCGGGGCGGAACGATGGCCCGGGCCATCATTCTTACCAAGACGCTGTTTACGTGCCATGTAACAATCTTCTCGTAGTGGCATGTAAACAAAATAATGCCCATGTTGCCTTTATTGACAAAATACATGGGAAATGGAATCCCAGCGTGCTTTCGTTAGCTTCAATCTCCAGTTGTGGCGAAAAGATAACGCACACCCCCCCCCCCCCCCCCCCAAAAAAACAACTTCTCAGCCTGCCGCCCCCACCCACCCGCCCGCCAGGAAAATGGAAAGTCCATGCCCCTGCTCGTGACCTATATAAGAACAAACACGATAGGATCAAGGTGTTCTCTCAACCAAAGTTTTATTAGTGGAGATAACAGAAAGAAAACAGCGTAGCCGACATTGATTACATCAAGAAACACCTACTTATCTATCAGGCACCACACAATCTTCGGGGCTGAAAAAGTTCACACACCGAACCTCCTTATCTGACAGAGCTACCGACAGCGCACTGTCAATAAATTGTTCTTTTTTACGGGTGTCCCATGTTCTGATTTTATACTTGCGGTGTCATTGATACACAAAATGGGGGATTCGTAATTTCTGCGGAATATTACAAAAAAGAGGACAGTTATTTTTAATGGAGTGACGAATTCTAAATTGTGTTAAATTTCCACGCGTGACGCACAATCCGCTAAGCTAAAATAAGAAATTAAAAAAAAAAAAAAAATCGGTGGGCTTTTTTCTCTATCTGCCGGTTTTGCGGTGAGCTTTTCTACGGTGAGCCTTTCTCCGGTGGGCTTTTCTCCGCCGCCAAAACGAAAAAGCTTACACAGAAAAACAATGAGTGAAAGTTGCGGATTTGGGCTGTGAGTCGGCACCATGCAACGTTACTAAAACACTCAGTTGGGAAACTCGCCGTCGAAACCTGGGCCGCTGGCGTCCACCGAGACCGAGCTAAATGCGACAACAGCGCCACTCTTTATCGTTTGTCTGTACTGTGGTCACCTTGAGCTATTTTGAAAGCCTGTTTTTGCGTAAAAACAAACGAAAAAGACTCTTTTTGTATGAAGTTTATGGGAGTTCAGTACCAAAAGAGGGGCGCGTTATGTTTTAGTTTGCAGGGTTTTGCGGCACAATTAATATTGTTTTTATACAACCATGCCTCAGCGGGCCTTTCAGGTAGCACGTCCCGCCCTAGGTGCATTTTAACTTCGGAAGTTGACCGCGGCGCGTCCGCCGGGGAGACGGGGGTGGCACCCCTGTAACCTCTTCCGCTGTATCTGTTCTTAAAGCCAAAATAGCAGTAACGTGCAGTTTCTCGAGTGGCCGCTGCGGGAGGAATGGTGGCGTTGTGTTCGTCATTAGCTCGGTGCTCGGAGACAGATTGGGGCCATTTTTTAAAAGCTGTCTCTATGGGAGTTTCCCAACTGAGTGTTTTAGTAACGTTGGCACCATGGCACCATGCAACAACAATGCAAAAATTATTTTTAATTCATTTTTTAATGTCATAAGATGCATCTTACTTACAGTGCGGTTTTCCAGCTCGTCACATCTTTGTCACCATGTCACCCATAAATTGTGTTGAGACACAGAAGCGCTGACTGAACAAATATACATTATTTAAAACATTGGGAGACTCATTTTTGTTAAATATAACCCGAAG